GGGATTTCACATACTCCTCTGGTATGAGCAGTACATAAAATCCTTAGAAAACTTTAATCGTTTCTACTAAAGCTAAACATATACATACCTATGACTTCTAGATAAATACCCACAAAAATAAATACGTATGATCTCCGAAAGATATGCACAAGAAGTTTCACTGAAGTACAATTTCTAATAGCCAAGAACTGGAGAAAAATCTAAAAATCTATCAAGGAGAGAAAAGTTAAATAAACTGTGAAATATTTATGCAATTGATAAGTCCAGGGCACTGAAAATGAATGAACTATTGCTACATGGAAAAATAAGGATCGTCCAGTGTTGTGCTGTGGCCTGCTTCTGCCAGCTTACAAGAGGCAATTACGGCCATCCCTTTCAGACTGCACATTCTGTAACTTCTTGTTTCCTTGAAATCGGCCCTGGTGGGAATATTTGTATCACAGAAATCAGTGAATACTGCAAACCAAGGCTTTTCACCTTCTTTAGAGCTGATTTACTAGCACACTACTGATGTATCTCACAAGCATAATTCCTAGGGAAACAAGCCAAACACAGAAATATAAATAATGCATGATTCCAGTTGCAGAAATTTTAAAACAGGCCAAACTAAACATTAGTGTTAGAATTTAGGAGAATGGTGGATATCTGTCTGCATGAAAGATAATGATGTAAAGGGGATGTAATAAGGGCTTGTGGAGTTCTGGTGATGCTCTGCCTCTTGATCTTGATGCTGAATGACCAGTGTGTTCATTTTGTAAAAACTCATCAAGCTGTACATTAAAGACTTGTACATTTTATGTATGTAAATGTTAATTAAAAGTTTTCTTAAAATAAAAATAAAGGCATGGCCTGATTTCATTTTTTCATGTAAAGAGTATTGTGTGTATTTGAAGAAAAATGTCTGAAATGATTACCAAAATGCTGACAGTATTCACCTCTGGACAGTGATATGTTAAGGGAAAGGACAGAGGGGTATAAAATGGAACTTGAGCTTCTTACTTTTTATACAGAGGGGTGGAGGGTGGAAATAAGTATTTTGGCTGGGCATGGTGACTCATGCCTGTAATTCCAGCACTTTGGGAAGCAGATCATGAGGTCAAGAGATCGAGACCATCCTGGCTAATATGGTGAACCTGTCTCTATTAAAAATATGAAAATTAGCTGGGTGTGGTGGTGCACACCTGTAGTCCCAGCTGCTCAGGAGGCTGAGGCAGAAGAATCACTTGAACCTGGAAGGCAGAGGTTGTGGTGAGCCAAGATTGTATCACTGCACTCCAGCCTGGTGACAGAGCAAGATTCCATCTCCAAAAAACAAACAAACAAAAAGCATTTTATTTTGGTAATAAAAATTAACAGAGGAAAAAAATAAACATTTTATTTAAATATTGCAAACAGTTTTCCTAAAATATGTTCATTTACTACTCCATTTCATCATTAAATTGGAAACAGTATTACTACATTTTCTATTTTTCAAAATTCCAAAGCAAAGAAATTTGTCTACAAAGTTCCCTCTGCAAATATTCCCCTACTTTAGGTCAAATTAGCATAAGGAGAATGAGAAGTATGAAAGAGTGAAATTCGGATGAACCATTAGGGAACATTCTTATTTATCTATGGCCCTATCTCTTCGTTTAAATCAATTTAAAAATGTATACTTTATATACAATAAAGTGCACATATTTTTAATGTATGACAAAAAGAATTCAACAAATACAAATACCTATGTAACCACCCCAATTTAAAAAGATTAAAATTAAAAAACAAATCAAATTACTTGGGGAAATAAGTTGGAATTTTTATCTTCTAGAGCTATGTTTAGAATTTTTATCTTAAAATTTTAATCTTAAAATTTTATCTTAAAAATTTTATCTTTGAAATTTTAGCTTTAATCTTAAAATAAATTAGAATTTTTATCTTCTGGAGCATGCAGTTTAGAGTTCAAGGATGCTATGTTTACAGATTAAGAAGATGCCAAAGAGGTTGGGCATAGTGGCTCATGCATTTATTCACAGGGTTTTGGGAGGTTAAAACAAGAGGATTGCTTGTGACCAGTTCAAGATCAGCCTGGGCAATATGGCAAGACCCTGTCGCTACAAAAAAATTTAAAAATTAGTAAAGCATGGTGGCTTGTGTTTGTAACTTCTGCTGCTTGGCAGGCAGAGGTGGGAGGATTGCTTGAGCCCAGGAGCTTGAGGTGACAAAGCCAGACCTTGACTCTAAATAACTAAATAAAAGCAGCAGCAGCCAGTGATTTTTCTTGACTAAATAAAGTATTTTTCAAAAGCAAATAGGAGTAAAAGGCTGAAAATAATAATTAAAAATATTTCAATGTTTTTCAAGAACACACCTCATAGGTGAGTATAATGCTTTGATTTAGTTCAAGTTTGTTTCTACAAATTCTGACATGAAGCAACATCTTCAATTTTTTCCCAATAATTAAAGAAGAAAATACAGTATGGTCTAATGTTTATTGATGGGATTCAGAAAACAAACATCTGCCAACTGTTTTCTTGAGAAAGTTGTTATGGTCAACAACTGTCTGAGGCTGGCATGCAGGTAGTAAAGGAATTTACCTAATACCAAGACAGGAATAAGTTTAGAAAGGTATATTTATTTAGAGAAAATGTGAGACATGTTGCAAGAGGGCAACTTGCCAGAGAGCAGAGGGTCTGCAAGAGGCAGAGACTGGAATGGAGTTTTATAAGAGTGCTCCTTACGCTGAATGCTTGTAGACAGGATGCTTGGGTACAGATGGGCTGTGAGCTGGGCACTCGTAACAGGATGCTTGGGTGCTAAGCCATTTACAGTTGATCCTATCCTTGGAGCATTCAATTCCCTCTACCCCTGTTTCTGTTCCTGCCAGCTAAATCCATTTTTCATATTTCTTTTAACTCCTTAGGGCTCTGCAAAAGTTAATCAATTTCTCTAAACCTCAGTTTTCTTATCTGTGAAAGGTAAATAATATTACAGGATGCAATGGAAAAATCTAGTGTGGTTTACATAATCACCTATTAGAGAGATTAAATTCTTTCAGGATAAGTCATGAGAGTTAAATGAAGTAATGCATATAAAACACATAGTATAGTGTCTACCATATAGAAAATGTACAGTTATATTGGTTATTAATTACTTTTTGAAGGTTTCTTCTCTACTAAACTGTAAGTTCCACAAGACTTGTAATATGCAACAGATTCATTGTCTCAATTCTTCAAATACATCTTCTTCACCACAGTCTTTTAATTCAATTATTAATTGAATAAATTCTAAAGTTCAAAAATCACTTTTAGATTTAAATGAAATTTGCCTCACTTATAATCACATTTAACATTCAAAGGAAACACATTAACCAAGTGTAGTGGGTAATGTTACTGAGTGATCTCATGCTTTAGAAATGAGGAGATATATTCCAGTAAGCTGAATGCTTAGCACCCAAGGGTACACAGCTTGGACAGGACTAGGTCCAAAGTTTAACAGTCTTCTGACTCCAAGCCCAGTGCTCCTTCCAATGCCACAAGCAAACTCCATAAAGATATCCTGTGCTGAATGGAGGCTGTAGAGTGGTGCAAAGACAGACATTGTATTATGTCTTAGCTTTGTGACTTTGAATATTTACCTAATCTTGCTAAATTTCAGTTTTACCATGTGTAAATCGGGAAGAGTAATAGTACAAGCCTTGAAGCGTTCCAATGGTGATTAAATGAGGTGAGGTACATAACGTGCATCACTTATATTAAGTGATCTTTAAATATTACCCACTATTATTGACCATCTCTGATTAGATTTAACAATAGGAACATCAGGAATGATATAGTACACTCAGGATTTTGTTAGAAAGAGATGAAGAAACTCCCTTCTTCCCTGCCCTAGGACATCTAGGAGTTGTCTTGGTTCACTGTTGACAAATTAATTTTCCCAAATTTCTCACTTTGGTCAGAAAGTCTTTATTGAATCGCCCAAGACTATATAATCTAGCCCATCTGTCACCAATTAACTCATCCTGTGCTCTCCCTTTCTCAAAGCAAACTGTTTGCTATTCCTTGAATATACTCTGAGTTTTCTACCTTTGCCTACTCAGCTAGCCCTAGCCCCTAGTGTTTCTTCTCATCTCCAGTGGTTCAAATCCTACCTGTACCTCATGGATCTGTTAAAAGCAGTGCTTCCATAGAGTACTCCTACTCAATGCATGGCCTCTATCACGGATTCTAAGAACACAGTTTATTTTATTTTAAAAAGCACATAGTTATTCTCTCCCTCAAGATATCATTATTATTATTGAGAATCTATAGCAGGGATAGAATTTTGAATGATTGATTCTTCTGATTAATTCAACCAAGATTGATTTTATAACTATTACTTTAGACAGCAGCCAAACATAGCCTAGATATGAAAATAAAGTCTTTGCCTTTGACAAGTTCCAGTATTATTTCTTTAAAAAATGGTTTTGTAATATAAGCGGAGGATAATACCCTTCATGTTTATTAATAACGATAATATCCATTAGGAGAAAAAGCGCAGTGGTGATTTACACTGATGACAACCATTCCTGACTATGGGGAAAAAGTGCACTTTTTTTCTGCTCTACTTTTTTTCAGTAGAGTGTTGTAAAGATTTTATAGAATCTCAGAGCTGAAAAAAATTCCTGATAATTATAGTAGTGGAGAGGACAGTGGGTCTCTCTCCTTCTTCCTCTCATTTTTAAGCAAGAACTGGACATTTTCCCAGAAACTTTTTTTTTTTAAGATGCCTCTAGAAAGGGGCCGGGTTTCCTTCTGCATGCAGATACTGCCTCCCTCTCGCTCAGATTGGTTCAGGGCACTCTAGAAACGCCGCTATCGCGTTTCTGAAACTGGACCCCAGGGCAGGGAGCGAATTCCAGCCTCCAGGGCTGATAAGTGAGGCATTAGTGAGAGAGACTTTACCCCGCCTGGTGAGTGGAGGGGCGCCGTGGAGCAGCAGCAGCACAGGCGCGGTCCCGGGAGGCCGGCTCCGCTCGCACCGAGATGTGGAATCTCCTGCACGAAACCGATCCTGGTGCGGTCTCCGCTCGCCGCCCGCGCTGGCTGTGCGCTGGAGCGCTGGGGCTGGCCGGCGGCTTCTTTATCCTCGGCTTCCTCTTCGGTAGGGACGCACGCACCTCGCCAAGCAAACCTTGGAGTCTTCCCCGTGGTGCCGCGGCGCCGCGACTCCGCGGTTCGGCTGCTGACTGGGGTCCTGTTGCTGGTGTTCCCCAGGGGCCGCGATTAGGGTCGGGTAATGTGGGGTGAGCACCCCTCGAGTTCGCTGGGAATGCTGCATTGCTGAGTTCTCGACAAGCTGCTTGTAGGACAGTCACTCAGGTTGAGGGTGGAACAGAGAGAACCCGAAACTGGACCGTAGTAAGGTTTCACCTGCTGGAGCCCTGCAAAACAGGGCACTTTAAAGGTTTAGGACCAGCGCCAAACTCTGGGGGCTGCTGAACCAGGTCGGCTAGGGAGCGGTGCACCAAGACTTGTTTGGGGTATTTTATCCGGTCGTACTGTTTCAGGTGTAAGGTAGAATTCAGGACAGTGCTGCACAGAAAGTTTTTTTCTCTGCGCTTTCTGTGCTTGGAAGTAACAGAGGCAAGTTTGGAAACTGGGTGAACCAAGTCAGCGATCTGGACAGCTCTTTACCAGCAGGTCTTTCGCGTTTTTTCCTGTGTGCTGATTTGCAGACTTAATCCAAACCGCACAGGCCAGCTCAGACTCTTTTATTAAATTCCAGATTTGACTTTGCCACTTCTTAGTGGCCTTGAACAAGCTACCGAGTCCCTCTCAGCGTTAGTTTCCCTACTTTACGATGAGGATACTATTATCTGCAAATTATTAGTAATAGGAAATAATACAGCATGTAAATCTCCTAGCACGGTGCTGGGATTTTTGGCATTTTATTTCTTCTTTTACCAAGACGCTCCTCATTGGACTTTAATGCATAGGCCTAGTCTAAGGTATCACCAGGAGATCCACTCCTGCTTGGAATTCTTGACCCTCTTTCAGGATTTAGAAGAACAGGACATGGACCAGCTGGGTTTAAACAAATTCAATCTCTTCTACTAGCTTGCTGTATAACCTCGGGGGTGTTAAAAGATTTTGAACCACACACTGTGCTCATAACAATCTTTGTCTCTTAAAAGGGTTTTACTCTTCCTGGTATTGCCCTCACTCCCATCCCTGTATTCCCTGCTCAGTGGCTAACACAGAGTTCTTTACTGATGTCCGACTCCGACCCCCTAGGATTCTCCGCTCTCCCCTCCCCCTACAGGCCTCCATCCTCTTCATTGTGTTCATTTTTCAGATCTCAGTTCAAGCATCTCATCCTCAGTGTGTTGTTCCCTGATCCCTCACTCTAATCCAAGTCTTTCTGTTTTATGCACAGGTGGAATCTTATTATCGTTTGTGCCCAATCATGTATTTCGATGTCTATGTATATATGTATGTGCATTTGTATGCATGTGATTAATAACTTGGATAATTAATAATTAGAAAGCTCCATGAAAGCTGGCTGGGTGCTAATTTTGTAATGATTTCATTCCCAGATCCTGTAATTTCTCAAAATAAACCCTGGAATCTTGCCTTATCTTCTTCAGGTTAAAAGCCAACTGCAAGGTCTAATGACTGCAGGATCTAGCTATCCATTTCTTCTGGTCGCCTATGCTGCACTGGGTGTCTGGCAGAGAGGTTGGGTAAATTGTAGTTTCATTGTAGCTTTCTGAACTTGGATTTCTCAAGCCTACTTCACTGGAAACACAAACTCTCACAGCATTTTGTTTTAGTTTCAGAATCAGGGCAAATTAGAAGTCTGAATTCCTTTCAACACTTGGAAATAATTTATGTACTTGAAATATATTCATAATTCATTATAAAAATGTATTAAATGCTTACTCTGAGTCAGCAGAAGAGCAGTCACTGAAGATAGAATCTTCATGCAGGTAGAAGGTGGATCTCCTTTTTACCTTCATTTTCAGGAGATCCTGTTTATATAACCATTAGTTAAAACATTAATGTCATTTTATTTTAGTACTTATTGCCGCATAAAACATTTCTTAGAATAACAGTAATAACTATCATTGAAGTTGGATTAAAAATATATTACAATTGGTTTGTAACTTAAAAATCAGTTTGCATGATTTTTTTCCAGTGAAAGTAGACAAGAGAAATTAAACTTCAGAAAATCTCACCTAGTGTCCGAGGTAACTGATAATTTTTTACAAATGATCAATACAACAATAATAAAAAAAACTAAGTGCTATCTATGAGCTCACATCTCATGCCTATTTTTGGATGTATTTTTCAGGGTGGTTTATAAAATCTTCCAATGAACCTATTAACATTACTCCAAAGTACAATATGAAAGTATTTTTGGATGAACTGAAAGCTGAGAACATCAAGAAGTTCTTATAGTAAGCACATTCTCGAAAGTTTATATGGACAAGTTGTTAGAAACATTTATCATTCTGTTTTGGTTCAATATTTTAGATATAGGAACTGGCATTTTTCTTAAAGTTTTATTTATTGAAGATCTTGTATCACGTTTCATCTGAGGAGGATTATACTTTCAGTTAAACTTTGTCATTACAGAGATTTAGAGCAGGAGTCAGCAAACTTTTTCTGTAAAAGGGCCAGCCTTTATAGGTCAGCTGATCTGAGTTACAGCTAGTCAGCTCTGCTATTGCAGCACAAAAGAAGTCACAGAAAGTACACAAACAATGTGTCAGTTCTGATAAAACTTATGGGCACTGAAATTTGAATTTCTTTTTTTTTTTAAGACGAGGTTTCACCATGTTGGTCAGGCTGGTCTTGAACTCCCAACCTCAGGTGATCCGCCCACCTTGGCCTCCAAAGTGCTTGGATTACAGGCGTGAGCCACCGCGCCTGGCTGAAATTTGAATTTCATATAATCGATGTGTCAAAATATTATTATTATTAAAACCAATTTAAAATATAAAAACCATTCTTAGCTTGTGGACTGTACAAAAACAGGTAGTGGACCAGATTTGGTCAGTGGAAACTAGTTTGCTGATTCACGCTTTAGAGAAAGATAATGTATTTTAGTTTTAAAAAAATGGACTTTGGAGTTAGAATTGAGTTTTAATCCCATCTTTGCCTATTAATACTTCGGATGAAACTAAACCTTTCTGAGCCCTCTCTTCCACATCTGTAAAATGGGAATGATGATCTTATTATGATATGGATGAAATCAAAGAGCATATATTTGGCATATTTTAAAGACTAGTTCCTTACGTTTTGAAATAGCTATTTCCAGTGGAGAACAAAAGAGATAAATAAGTAAATTTTAGAAATCACCAAAAATAAACACTCATTTAGAATTACTGTATATAATTGATTCAAATACTTGCTTTTTTGTAAGCGTGAGATCCCTTTTGTGGGTTTTTACAAATTAGCTCATGTTTCCAAAAATCCTTGAAGTCCTTCTAATGATTCCAGGATTCCCTGGTGAATACAAATTGTAATTATAAATAAAAAGACCATTACACACACACACACACACACACACACACACACACACACACACACACACACATCAGTATGCATAGATGTGCACACATAATCATACAGATATGTTTGTATTAATTACAATAGAATTAAAACTATAAAGAAAAATTAATAGGATACCACTCAGGTCTTTGGAAGGGCCCTTTTAAATGTGAGACTCTGAAGCTCAAACTTCTCTTTGTGGAAACCCCTCCTCTGCCTCTTGCACTTATTCCACTATAATCATGCATAGTAGGTATAGTAAAAGTGGAGGTCCGGCAAGGTATGGTCTTTACTCCCGGACAGAGCTGCTGTTCCACCTTTCTTCCTTCCCCAATATTTGTGGTGGAAGAGATCCGAGTTACCCCAAGTTACCAGCAGCAGATCCATAAGGTCGATAGCAACTTCAGTCCTTGCCTCCTCAGAAGAAAGAATTCAACGGAGACATAAAGCAGAAAAAGAGACTGAGGCAAGTTCCAGAGCAGGAATGGAAGCTTACTTTAAAAGGTCTTATAACAAGAAAGAAAGGAAGGTGAGCTTGGAAGAGATCCAAGCGGGCACATGAAGGTGACAGAAGGCCAAGTGCCCGACGTAACTGTGATCCTGAGACTTTTTTAAGCTCACCTCTTTCCCACAATTCTTCCCTTAGGGTGGTGGGCTGTCCTCATGTGCAGAGCCGTCCTAACCCTTAGGAAGTAAGCCCCAGCGTTTAGGGAGGTACACATATGCTCACCTGAGGCTCTGTTCATTTTTCTGGTGTATACCCGGAAGATCCTACTGCACCATTTTTGTCGCTAACACGCATGCCCAGGGAGTTGCTTCTCCCGGGAGTCTGCATTCAATTAAGATTTTGATGTTAACAGGTATGGAGCGTCAAGAGGTGATCTCTCCCTGGCACTGCTCAATTACCATTTTTAGAGAAGCCATGGGATTATTTCGGAACCATCACCTGACACTCCTGTGGGTCGGGGGAAAGCCCTCTCCTGCCTTGCTCCTGTCTACCTGTACCACTAATTTGTGACATAGATTGACCAACAAAGAAGAAAAATAAATGCCTCTCTTTATTTCTCTTTTGGGATCCTCAAGCAAGATTAAGCAGTCAGCTTCTTGTTTATTCTCCACATCCCTAACCAAGCTCCGCTAGCCAAAACTCAGGGCGATATTTAGCATTAACCCACAAAAGAAAGATTGAAAGAATTCACTTTCATCCCTCCAAGGACCACAGACTCTCCAGAAGCCTCCTCAACTCTCCAGATTTCCAATTGCTATTTGTCCATCAGAGAGCTTTCAATTAACATATACCCGTGGGACACGGACTATTAAAGGCCCCGACCTTCCGTCTTGTCCCCCTGTATCATTTTGTTCTGCTCTTAAAAGCCCCCATTGCTTCTGAAATATCTGCCTCAGTCGTCAATGGGAGGATTAATTAGGAACAGCTTGTTTTCACTCTGCCTTGGGGCACAGGGTTGTCTGTGTTTTCCCTTCTTTGAAAACACCCAGTTGAATTTACAGATCTGTTTACTATTTTGCACCTCTCTGGAGGGATTTTCCTTCTCTACCCTGTTTTGCAAGATAACATTGTTTTAAAAGGCATTTTAGATTTTTGGTCTCATAATTTTGTGTGTATTTGAATAGAGATATATAGGCCCAATGAAATCACATAGTAAACTACACTTCTTAATTTATTTAATGACTTGAGAGAGATGTGTGTCACAAGTAATTTGTTGATACTAGAATATCAAAATTCGTTAAAAAAAAAAAAAAAAAAAAAAAAAGGTAAGAATTAAGAATTTACACATTTTCCAGAATAGCAACAATCCATTTGCGATCTCTGTCAGGCTGGTTTAAATATGTTCCAAGTACTGTCTTGTCACATTATCACTTTGTTTGTTTTTCGTTTTTTCAGGCAGTGTCTCACTCTTGCCAGGCTGGAGTGCAGTGACACAATCATAGCTCACTGCAGCCTGGAGCTCCAGCCCTCCAGTAGGTAGGACTACAGGTACATGCCACCATGCCCAGCTAATGCCATCTTTTACTAAATGTCTTCAAGTCATCTTTAACTCTTGGAAACACTGCCACATTATTTGTAAACAATATGAAGTGTACCAAAACAGAAATAACAGTAGCTCTCTTTAAGAACTGAGTTAATGTAGTCAGACATAGTGGCTCACCCATGTAATCTCAGTCCTTTGGGAGGCCAAGACAGGCAGATCCCTTGAGTTCAAGAGTTTGAGACCAGCCTGGGCAACATAGTGAGACTCTGTCTCTACAAAATACTTTTTTAAATTATCTGGGCATGTTGACATGTGCCTGTAGTCCTACATACTCAGGAGGTTGGAGCTCCAGGTTTTAGTGAGCTCTGATTGCGCAACTGCATGCTAGCCTGGCAACAGAATGAGACACTTATCTCTTAAAAAAAAAAAAAGAAAGAAAGAAAGATGAGATAACATGACAATACCAGGAACATATTTAAATCAGCCCTACAGAGATATATAAACAGAATTTGGCTATTTAGGAAAAATTGTAAAATAGTAATTTTATTCTCATTTATTTAACAAAATTTGATATTCTAGTAGGTTCAACAACTTGTGACACACATGTCAAGTGATTAAAATCATTGAGAAGTGCTGTTTAATATGCAATCTAATTGAGTCTCAAGTCTTTGTGAAGTAATGAGTTAGTGACGTTCTCCCCATATACAGATGAGAAACAAAAGACACAGCTAGAGTTGCATACGGAGTTAATGACAACACCTCTAATATACCACTTACGAGATTTATACTAATTAATTTATTTAGCATTAGCAATGGATCTTTTTTTCTACTAATCTTTTCCGGGATCTGTTTTGCTTCAGATGAGTGAGCCGAAACCATGGTAATAGCACAATGTTGTTTCCTAGTTGGTAGTGACAACACCGTTACAAGAAAATTTGCTTATAGTAGCAAAGCCTAATAATGATTTTCTCCCTCCTTTTTGTTAGTAGGTTCAAGATTCCTCATAGTAATTCCTTTTCCTTGCAGGGACAGAGGCATAGCTGGCACTTCAGGAAATCTGCATTTGACATTAGTTACATTACAGTTGTAATCTTTTTATTAGAAGAAAATAGCAACATGTTGGCTGTTTTTCCGTTTTCCCTACAGGTGCACACCGATAAGGCATAGAGAATCCTTAGCTGCCTCTTATGTTTGTGCTCTTTTTGTTGCCATATTTTACATATTAGAAATTCTGTGTAAGATGTTGTGTCCCTAACTGTTTACCAAATGAGGATTTTAATGCTATTTTTATGAATGCAATTTAAAGAACTTTAAGGTAATTATTAAAAGTAAGCAAGTTACAGGAAATTCCAGTTTTAAAAAACTGAGTCAATTTAATTCATTGTTGATTCACCAAATGAAAACAATTAAGATACAAGGTAAAATGAACCTTGAAGTTGGGATTATCATAGTCATGTAGCTTATTGTGTGTTTTTTAAAATCACCATAAGGATAGAATATGTCGATTTTAGAAAACTACATATTTAGAAGTAGAAATTTATGAAGTTCCAAAAGTTTATGAACTAGAAATACATATGTGTGTGTGTGTGTGTATATATATACATATATATATACACATATATACATACATATATATATACACATATATACATACATATATATATACACATATATACATACATATATATATACACATATATATATACATATATATATACACATATATATTCATGCTACATAATATCTTGTCATATATTTAAGGGCTTAAGTTAAAAATACTTACTAACGAGCTCTCCAGGGAAATGAGAAATTTCCCAGGAGGGAGAAATTTAAAACAATCAAAAGCACCAGAAACTAAATATATTAAATGAGAAATCAGTCTTCTCCTGAAAATATTTCTGGTAGCTAAGTTTTAGCCACATAGTTTCTTTGTTAAAGATATTCCTCTTCAGACTCATTATTGACATTCATTTAAAGTGTATTACTCTGTATGATAGATGGAGTGCAAGTGATTCATTCTGAACTTGTGTCAATACATTCAGATTATTCTCTGATGAAGAAACTTTATAAATGGTTGCTAATCAAAAAGTTTATCACTTGTCTATAGCTCTCAGTGTTTAGATAAATGTAATTATTAGTAATTCTTGCCATGTCACACCTTGGTCTTTTGGATAAAATATTTTTATCTGTTTCAGTATTTTACTCAGTGATATAAACAGATAATTCCATGCACGTTCTAAGATGTATAGGTCTTAAGGAAGAATATAACACTTTATTAATCTACCATACGAGGATATAGGCATAGGATTGCACATAATGACACTCACAACGATCAGTTTCTCCAGTTTTTCTCTTGATTTAGTACAAGTTACAGCATAAAAATTTCAAAGCAGACTGGAAATCTATTACATGCAATAATAGTACCACTTCAATTTTTTAACATATCACAGTTCAAGGTATTTTTGTGTAAATCTGCTTTATTTTGTTGTTGATTTGGAATAAAGGTTAACTAATCATTAATATCTAACCACTTTCAATTTTTGTTCACCAGTAATTTTACACGGATACCACATTTAGCAGGAACAGAACAAAATTTTCAGCTTGCAAAGCAGATTCAATCCCAGTGGAAAGAATTTGGCCTGGATTCTGTTGACCTAGCTCATTATGATGTCCTCTTGTCCTACCCAAATAAGACTCAGCCCAACTACATCTCAATGATTGATGAAGATGGAAATGAGGTAAAAAAAAAAAAAAAGAAAGAATAAAAGAAACATTCCCCCATGTATTCTTTTTCAAATATCTTATATAAAATAATGCTCTATCCCATCTCTAAATATTAATAGAAATCAATATTATTGGATCTTGTGAATATCTTTAATATCTTATTATCCATGTCAACTACTTTCTTGTGATTCTTAAGTTTTATGTGATGTTTTAGAAAGATTCTGAGAAATTAATGCTTGATAACAGTTGCTATTTTTTAGTTTTTACGACTACACACCAGTATCAAATATGATATACTTGTAAACTTCCAGGCAACTATAAAATAGATACTTTTTTTTTGAAATGGAGTCTGCCTTGTTGGTCAGGCTGGAGTGCAATGGCACGGTCTTGGCCCACTGCAACCTCTGCCGCCCAGGTTCAAGGGATTCTCCTTCCTCAGCCTCTTGAGTAGCTGGGATTACAGGTGTGCACCACCACACCTGGCCGATTTTTATATTTTTAGTAGAGATGGGTTTTCATCATGCATTTTTGATAGGTTTTTTTTTTCTTTTCTTTTTTTTTTAAAGATGGGGTTTCACCATATTGGTCAGGCTGGTCTCGAACTCCTGACCTCAGGTGATCCGCCCACCTCAGCCTCCCAAAGTGCTGGGATTACAGGCTTGAGCCACCACGCCCAGCTGATAGGTTTAATCTATAAAGACACTGCCCAGATTTGGAGTTGCTGGGGCATTCAAGGATCCAGTATGTAGTTTGACCGAGCAACTTTTTATTGGTACTTAATGATTATGTCTCAACTGACCAGGTTGAGCTTTGTGCCAAGAACTTGTGTGTGGACATTTGGAGAGGACAAGTTTGAAGGCAAAGTCTTTAGCATGGTATTTAAAGAATTTGCAATCTTGTTTGCAAGTTGGGGCATATACCTGAGAAAGAGAAGGCAATGGAGATAAGTTGAGATATTTATTATCATGATGTATGTTCAATATGAAAGATCACAAAATATAACATATATTCATCTCTACTTAACATACCTTAGAGCTACTGTATGTGGAAGATTCTATTTCAATTTGGATAACTTCCTTTTTTACTGAGCATTCTAAATGATATATAACTTGAATTATGTCCAGTTTAATCGGTGAACTGAAAATGTCATGTAATTTAAGTATGTATTTAATTTTTTTTCAAAGTAAGTCAATAATTTCCTTTTATTGACTAATGAATTAGTCTCTTCTTAATTGTTGTTATGTTTTACAGTAAGTGATATAATTCCATACTAAATTTCCTAATGTGATTTGGAGCTTTTCATATTAACTACTGCTCTAAATCATAGTACTTAACAATATAACTTTAAAAAATATTATTAAGCCAGGCATGGTGGCATGTTCCTCTAATCTCAGCCACTTGGGAGGCTGAAATAGGATGATTACTTGAGCCAGGAGTTGCAGACCAGCTTGAACAACATAGCAAGACTCCACCTTGAAAAAAAGCAGCTGGGAATTGTGGCTCATACCTGTAATTCCAGCACTTTGGGAAGCTGAAGCGGCTCCTGAGATCAGGAGTTCGAAACCAGCCTGACCAACATGAAGAAACCTCATCTCTACTAAAAATACAAGATTAGCTGGGCATAGTGGCAGGCTCTGGTAATCCCAGCTACTTGGGAGGCTGAGGCAGGAGAATCATTTGAATCTGGAAGGTGGAGGTTGAGGTGAGCCGAAATCACGCCATTGCACTCCAGCTGGACAGCAACAAGACCAAAACTCATCAAAAAAACAAACAACAACAACAAAAAAACTAACATATTTTATACTTAAAAGAAAATACAGTTGCACATTATATAGTCTAAGAATGTTTGTTAAATAATGGTGGCATATCTATACAACTAAATACCAAGGGGTCTATAAAATATGTTCAGAAAAATTATTTAAAGAAATAAAATATTGACAATGTTAAAAGTATACATATGCCTAAACCTCTACTTGGTCTATCAAATTTGGGAATTGTCTATGTACAATGTGGAACAAACAGACATATAATATATTTTAGTTTATTTTTTTAAGTGGGTCATGCTATGTTGTTTTTTCTTCTTTTTCCCTTCCTCTTCACTTCCCAGTTTTGACTGTATCCTTGCTTATTTTATTTCATTATTTACTTTTGTATTACAAGTATTCATAATGTTACCAAAGGCTGTTACATAATACAAAATGAATCCTCTAGGAATTTGATTTGGGAGATTTCCTCCCCCCCCCCCCAATAGTGTTAGATACCTAGTTTCTTAATGTTTAAAAATTTTATCACTTCATTTTTATTTTTACCCAAGTTATATATGTACATAATCCCGTAATTCTCCTGAGTGGCTTACTTTTTCTCTATTTTCTTCTTTCCAGAGGCAATCGTTATTCAACTATAAGTTCATTCTTTTGATATTTACATCTATTACTATAAATTATATGCTTATATTACTTTTATTTCAGATGTAGACATTATCTATTGACATTGTGACAAGTCAGCTCCCTGTTCATTTCTTGACCCCAACCACCATGTTGTCTTACTATCTCCCATCTCTCAGTTCAATTTAATTGTTATGAATAACAGTTCACAGCTGAGCTATGTAATAAACTATGATTCTTTTTATACCTCTGCACAAAAAAGATAAGTTTTCCATCCCATAGGCAACAAATATGATTAGTATTTTGAGGATCCTATTAAATATTTTTAATGTATACAGAGACATTTTTTCACCTTTGTTTATGCAGAAATAACATACCACATAGATTGAACTATATATTGACATTTTTTATGTCACAAAAAGTAAACAGAAATTGTAAACTAATGTTGTTTTAGTTATACTCAGAATATATAATTTGAGACTAGTGCATTTTGGAAAGTAGGAAATGCTCTAAGACTGAAACATAATCTGTCTTTGCTAAAGTCATCCAAAAAGTCATCCCCTTGACATTAAAAGACTTTTCTTAGTTGTGAGAATAGCTCACAAACTTGCTGTAAGATTCAGTGTGGCATAGTGGTGCTGCAAAACTGGTTACCATAAAGGCAAATCAAGTGAGACAAGTTTGAATATTCCTTTGCCTGGAAAACATGCTTGTAGAATGACTTTGTTCCTTGATTGATTTTTACTGCACCTTAGCATAATTTCCCTTCTAATCTTGCCTAGTGGTTCGGATGATTTCATATCTTATGTCAATCACAGAAAAAATATGGGAAATTTGGAAGATGTGGGGATTTGGGGAGTAGTAGTTCATATGGTTTCATTTTAGCTCCTCTCAGCCTCTAAAAGGGAAAATAACTACTGCTCTAATTAGTACAATATAAAATCTGCCCAGATCCATTCCTCATCCCCAAATTCCTCCCCTTTTATTACTGCACTGGCGAAGACCTATACAGTATAATGTTGAAAAGAAGTTTTGACGGTAGGTATCCTTAACTTTCTTCTGATCTTGAAGGAAATACCTTTAATTCTTTTTCACTGTTAATTATGACATTTACTATTTTCTTTTTCTGGTTATTTTCATGCACACTATTTCCACGTATACTAAATTTTTTTGCTACATGGATTTACATTAAACACATTTTTATTTTGAAATGAGCATGCGATTTTTCTTTCTTGATCTGAAGATGACATTCAGTGATATTCTAATGTTAGCATAATCTTACATTTTTTGAACTTGCAATATTAGTATTAGGGTTTTAAATTCACATATTGATATATATTCTGTTTATACCCATAGCATGTTTAGTCTCTGTTTTTATAATCTATTTGTTGGGTTATAATTTCAATATTATACTTGTCTTCTAAAATGGGTTGGATTTTTAATATTTTCTGAAATAGGTTTTGTTGTAATTATCTTTTCATTTAATCCTTCAAATTCAAAGAAAACCAGTTGACCTTGATTCAGTTTTGTGGAAAACTTTAAACTACTGGTTTAATTTCTTTATTGGTTGTTATATGACTATTTTGTGTCATATAACAATTTTTATTATTTGTTAAATGACTTTATTGTCATATGATTATTTTATGTCATATAATAATTTTTATTATTTGATATATGACCTTATTGTTATATGACTATATGACTAGATTTTTTAAAAATGTATTCTTATGTCAGTTTTCATAAAATGCATTTTCCATTTCATGTAAGTTTTCGAATTTATGGTATAGTTGTTCCTAGTATTTTCTTATGTTTTTGAATCTGTGCTGCATCTGTAGATGTGTCTGTTTTAAATAATTGATATGATTTATTTGTGCCTTTGCTATGTTTTTATTACTGTTCTTGAGAGGGATATATCGAATTTACTAGTGTATCCAGAGAATAAACTGTGGGTTTGGCAGTCTTTTCTCATCTATCTTTGCTTTACATTTTATTAATTCTGTTCTCATTTTATAATTGCCTCTTTTATTTTCTTTGTGTTTACTTTGCTGTTCTTTGCAAAATCCTGGGTAGAATGCTTAACTTTCTGATGTTCAGCCTTTCTTCATTTCTAATATGAGTATTTAGAACTGTTACTTTCCCTTTAGTTTCCCTTCAACTTCAACTAAATCTTACAAATTTGGATTAGGAGTAGTTTAGTTATTATTAATATTTAAGTATTTTCAAATTTTCACATTTTCTTATTTGATCCTCGAACTATTTAGAACTATTTTTAAAAATTTTTGAATATAAAGCTTTTTCTTGTTATCTGTTTGATCTCATCTCCAGATTGAATATATTAAGATCAAATAATGTGGTTTGTAGGACACTAATCCTTTGACAATTGCTGAGGCTTCCTTTGGAGCCCAATATGTGCTCAATTTCTATAAATGTTCTGTGTTTCTATGGGAAAACCATGTATTTGAGGGTTGTTTGGTTTAATATTTTATATTTGTACATTAGTTTGAGTTTGTTTATTATTCGGCTAAAATCTCCATTTTCCTTAATGTGCTGTCATTTGTCTGTTTTCTTTACTAATTAGATATAAATGCTGGTATTACAGGCGTGAGCCACCATGCCCAGCCTGGCCTTAATTTTAATTTAAATTTCAGTTCAATATCATGTATATGATATGTACCATAAATATATGGTGTATAAAATAACAGGTGTAATTTTACTCTGTTCTTTTCATTGGCTCTTTTCCATAATACTTAGGAGGCGTTTGGTGATTTTTGTGGCTCTCAGTTCTTCTCCCTTAGACTTCATGGGAATTCTTTAAGGCTAAGTTGAAGGCTGTTTCCTCCTGATCATTTCTCTTAGGCCCCAGGGAGCACTACAAACCTGGCACTGCTTCAAAATAAATATTTTAGCTTGAAGCATACTATAAAAACAGTGAATGGAAATTTGTAGTGTTATGAATTATCTGGAACTCTTTTTTCCTGCTTTACCCTAAGCCATTACTTTTCACGGAGCAAGTTTATTTTGAATGTATCCTTAGCCCTAAAGGATATTGTTGTTCTTAGACCAGTTTTATGCAGAGTCTTCTGTTAGATTCCGTTATTTGAACCACCTCTAGACTCTTAACTCCTGCATCCTTTTCATGGGTCATAGGATTTGATAGATCCCACTAAGGCAAAGCCAACTTTTGTGCTAACTCTCAGGATTCTTGCTTTCATTTTATTTTTTTTTGCTTCTGAACATTTCTTACTATTTTTTCCAATTCTGTTATAAACTTAAAAAGATATATATATTTGGTTCACTGTTTTTCATTCTTTTCAGTACATATGTTTTCTGGAGAATCTGGATATGGCCAATCGTGGATTCCCCAAACGTGTACTTTTTTCTGAAGTAAATTTAATATTTGTTCCTAGATGATTAAGCACTATTGTAATGATTTTGATTACTATACAAAGTTGCATTTTATTTGGGGATTAAAATTTTTCTCTGAAATCAAAAGCTAGTGCTTACAAGTTCTCTTAAGTAATTGGTAAGTTTTATTTACTTGTGACCTCCTGTGAAGCAACCACATATTTAGGCTTTTATTTACACTAGCTTAGTATGTATGCCACTTACAAAAAATCAATTTCTGATTCTTATGTCAGTATACAGTTTACAGTATTCAGTATTCCTTTGGAAGATTATCTTTTTACCTCTTCTGAGTTTTTCTTTTTATTGTACTTATTTTATAATTGTTTTTTGTTTGGTCGATTGTTAGTTATTGGTGGAGGGTTTTAGTTTTGTTTGTTTGAATAGACCTTACCATTCTGAGAACAGAGCCTGTGATGTACTCAGCTCATGAATTCCTTACAGCTTCTAGCACAGTGCTGGGTATATGATATTATCATCAAAATCCTGAAAGATTGATTCACTCTCTATTGATATAAAAGATAATATGCGTTTTTTTGTTTGATTATAGTAATCAAACTTTAACTGATTTATTTTTGATTATGATATTTTGTTTCTGTAGATTTTCAATACATCATTATTTGAACCACCTCCTCCAGGATATGAAAATGTTTCAGATATTGTGCCACCTTTCAGTGCTTTCTCTCCTCAAGGAATGCCAGAGGTAAAAACATAGCGCAACAAAATAAAAATGACAGAAAGAAGCCTCCCTTCTTTTCATACGTTCAGCCAATAATTAAAGGGTCATAAAGGGATTTTGATGTAATCCAGTTCATCTTTTTTCCTCATTTAAGTAATAAGAATGTCTTAGTAAGAAGAAGAAATATTAATTATATTTTATTCATGGTATTTTCAAAGATAGAATTTTCTACAATGAGAGGTACAAGTCCCAAATGAACATTTATTGATTTTTTTGACAAATGCCTACATCTGTGTAATCCAAACCCCATCAATGTACAGAATATTACCTTCACTTCAGAAAGTTCCCTTATGCCCCTTCTTTTTTTTTCCCACCTACCCCCCTTATGCCCCTTCTTAATCAACTCTACACACCCCAGAGGAAATCTTTCTTTGAATTAGTTTTGCCTAGTCTAGAAATTCATATAAAAGAAATTGTATGGCATATAATGTTGTGTGTCTAGCGTATTTTACTAAACATAGAATCTGTGAGATTCTCACATTTAGTATTTATCAGTAGCTTGTACCATTTTATTTTAATTGTTGAGTAATTTCCATTGTATGAATATTCTATGTATTTTACTACTGCTATATAACACTGATTAATTTTCAAAGCTTTTGAATAAGGGTATTGTCATTTTCAAATGAAGATCATGGTTGTTTGTTCTTAAAAATGTTATGTGGTTTACTCAATAAACTGAATTCCCAGTAGAAGTTAGGCATTGTTACTCACAGGGTGATATAGGAGATCAGCACAAGACACAGGTCATAAAGACCTTGCTGATAAAACAGTTTGCAGTAAAGAAGCCAGCCAAATCCAACCAAAACCAAGATGGTAACAAGAGTGACCTCTGGTCATCCTCACTGCTCATTATACACTAATCGTAATGTATTAGCAGATACTCTCACCAATGCCACAACAGTTTACAAATGCCATGGCAATGTCAGGAGGTTACTTTATGTGGTCAAAAAGGGGGAAAAGCCCTGAGTTCTGGTAATTGCCTATGCTGTTCCTGGAAAACTCATGAATTATCTACCCCCTGTTTAGCATATAATCAAAAAATAACCATAAAACTGGGCAACCAGCAGCCCTGGGGGCTGCCCTACCTATGAAGTAACCATTCTTTTATTCCTTTACTTTCTTAATAAACTTGCATTCACTTAAAAAAATAAATAAAATAAGAACAATAGAAAATAAATAAACATTATAAAGTTAGAATATTGATCTAGATTTTTTACATTACCTGTTTCTCTTGTTTCTTCTGAGCAGCAAGAGATCACTGGTTGGTTCAGAGGAATAAGCAGTGTTAGTCTAAATTGCAGAAAAAAACTTAAATACAACAGGTGAGCCTTGAATCTAATAACAGGTGTACCATAGTTCTTGAAACATTTTGTTTTTCTCTCTCTAGTCTCCGATTTTAACTAAAGGCAAATAATGATAACACCTATTGGCTTTATTATACTTGGCCTGATTATTTGTATAAAGTTCAGGAAAAATAATTATTTTCTTTTTTTGCTTTTTTTTCCCTTTTCTTTCTTTCTTTTTTTTTTTTTTTAGAGGCAGGGTTTCACCATGTTAGCCAGGATGGTCTCGGTCTCCTGACCTAGTGATCTGCCAGCCTCAGCTTCCCAAAGTGCTGGGATTACAGGCATGAGCCACCACGCCCAGCCAAAAATAATTATTTTCTAATAGGCTTTTTAAGTTGGCTTTGATGGAACTCTGTTCCATAAAATAAATCACAGAAAAAACTTTAAAGCCAAGCCCAGCCATGGGTTTATACCCTCAAATAACCATGAATTGAGCAAATTCCTCTTCTCTTGAGGTCCCAAGGTACCCTGGGGCTCCTGGGCTTGTCAGAAAGTGACATTCTTTACCTACCACAGCCCATGAACCCTGTATGGAGACTGTGTAGACAAAGTATGAGGCCAGTTTTCCCAAGAGGCTTTTATTGGCCTTATAAGTCAAGTTGGAAGGACAGCACATTATTCCAGTCAAAGCTTTCGCAAAATAACCAGTTTCTTCAACTGTCCTGTTACAAAAGAAAGCAGAATCTTATTGCACTTATGTAAATAACTATATTGCCCTAAGTTAAGAATACTCATAATTATTTTCCAAATTCTGGAGAAATCACTGTTTTTGCCACCAATTCTATCCCTATAAATAAGAGTTAGGAAGAAAGAAGGTTAAAGGAAACAAATAAAATTCCAGGCTAAGAGTGCAAGATTCTATTTATTCACAGTCATAGAACAATGAATGGCACAATGTAAATTATACAAGAAGGTCTTTGTCTGAAAACAAAGCTTTTTTCTAACCAACAGTAACAATTTGCCTTTGAGAAGTCCTGAGAGGGCATACCTATCATGCTTTCAAGTAGGATACTTACGCTAAAAAAATTATTTTGCTGAAATCAAATTGGTTAATGACTTTGTAGCCACAATTAAAACAATAAGAAAGAGCTTCAGAGAAGGCTAACAGTGATAAATTAGACATATAATGTTATAATTAATAGTGCATTAAAATTACGTTGGTCTTAGGAAGAAATACAAGAGCTGAATATAATCCCTTTACAGAGGTAAAGATTCAAATGTCAGTTTCTCAATTAGACTTTCCTCATTTTATTTAATATTACACCCACTTAAGCTCTAGTCCACCATTTGTATACTCTATTTAAATGCTTTTTAAATATTTTCTAGAGCACTTATCACCTTTTAATATACTGTATGATTTGCTTAGTTATTAAATTTAATGTTCATTATCCTATTGTCCCATCCACGTTACAAGAAATCTCCAACTTAAGAAGGTTGACTTACAATTTTTTTGACTTTATGATGGTGAAGTAGCCATACTCATTCAATACACTTCTCAACTTGTCACGAGGGATAAACTCATTATAAATTGAAAATATCCTAATTTAAACACACACTTCAGATGTATGATTATTTTCAACTTAGATGAGCTTAATAAGACTTAATCCCATTGTGGGTGAAGGAGAACCTGCAGTGTATGTTCCTTCAAGGGCAGAGATTTGTTGTATATCTCTGTGTTGTAAAAGGCTCTGGGGATCCAAAAAGATAATTAGAAATATTGTTTTCAATGTTAAGATAGTGAATGATTCTGATAGCTGGGTAACAAATTCTCAGCAATTCAAATGGTTTACAATCGAGCAAAATTAAAGGTAAACTGAATTGAGTTTCCAGCTAACATCATTAAAAACACTGGTATGATGTATCAATTTGTGATTTTCAGATTGTAACTTGAAAGAAGTTTAAATATGTTAATGACAATTCCATAACAAATCTTTCATTCCTATCCAAGTTTTCTGAGAACTTACCTGTAAAAACAAGAAATGCAAATGGAACTATTGTTGCTGATCCCTGTCTCATTCTAGCAATAATTTGCTCACCCACGGAACAAATGTGTGTAAGATAATGTTTCACTGTCCCATTCATTGCATTAAGAGATATATTTCTAACCACATTTTATGGTTGTGCATTATTTGTAAGAATTGCAGTGATGTTTTTAGACTTAATTTGATACTACTAATAATTATAATTATAATTTACTTTTTTTTTTTTTTTGAGACAGAATCTCACTCTGTCACCCAGGCTGGAGTGCAGTGGTATGATGTCTGCTCACTGCAACTTCCACCTCCTGTGTTCAAGCAATTCTCATGCCTGAGCCCCTGAGTAGCTGGGATTACAGGCATGTGTCACCATGCACAGCTGATTTGTGTGTTTTTAGTAGAGATGGGGTTTCACCACGTTGGCCAGGCTGGTCTCAAATTCCCAACCTTAAGTGATCTGCCTCGGCCTCCCAAAGTGCTGGGATTACAGGCGTGAACCATCATGTCTGGCCTATAATTATAACTTACTCTTGAAGCTGTTTCTTAACACAATCTGTCACAAAAATAAATATTTTTTAAAATTTGACTTCTAAACTTCCTTCTATTCAAGGACAAAATTTGACTTCTATATTTCCTTCTATTCAAGTAAGTTTAACAGTGATTAATAAAAGACTTTCAAGCATACCTATATTTATGGTAATAGATTCTGAAATGAAATTTAGAATGTTAGTTGCTAATTACGGAGTGTTCTTTTGGGATCAACATCTGTAAGAAGGAGAGCTGGATTAGGCAGAGGGAGGAGTCACCCTGCAATACCAGCTCAAGGATAGCCTTGACTAAACCTATGAGGAGAGCTGGAATCGTTTTTTATAATTGTCCTAGGTTAGACTGAGATGTCCAAGTCTCTATACCCTCACATCAATCAGCCACTGAATGTGTGGCATTCTAGGAAGGGACATGACCTTCAGCAAACGGTCTGTCTACAGCTGAGGCCATCCCTGAAGGGGCTGACAGCTGAAGATTGTCTGCAGAGAGACTTCCCTGCAGCTGGAGCAAAAGGTCCTTCATTGACCACAAATCTGGACAGCTCATCCTACTGCCCAGCACAAATATATTTTACTTTAGAATAAAATTCTGTGGGGGAAGTGGACAATATGCAATTTCAATTTTTAAAAGATGACAAAATTTTGACCCTAAAGAGCATGTTTATGTATTTTTAAAAATTGATGTTGAATAGTAAATACAGCATTTAAATTCTTTTGAATCAATATAAAAGTTATATACAATGTCCTGTAAATTGTTAATATTTACAATAAACTAGATATTGCATACTTTGCGACTACTTAAAGTATTAAAAAAATTAAAATTTTAGATGAAGGGATACATTGTTTTGCAAAATTAATTTAGGGAATAGGTGTGCAATAAAAGTTGGAAGATCACTGATTTAATCTATCAGGTAATTTTGCAAATGAGAGTATTGAGACTTAAATATGTTATAAGATTTGCAGATAATTATACTGATTGAAATCAGATTTGTAAAGCAGTGATGTTACCTGTCCATTTTTCTTTACTTGTAGTTGCTAAGACCCATTAAGCTACTCCCTGTGAACACACTCTGAAGAGAGAAAAGGTCTCATTAAGGGCTTCTTAGCCTTGGGTACCTGGACCCCTTCAAGTTGCATGCAGCAATGTGTATACATATATGATTTTCTGTGGAGGAGTGCTTCTATAGCTTGATAGCCACTAAATAATGGGTTAAACACAAACAAACATTATTTAATTCACATGCTTCTACCCTATCTACTTGCATTCTCAATTTCAGTTCATTTTCCCTAGAAGTTCTCCTTTGGAGCATACACTTTTCTGACCCTCTTGTGTGCTCTTACCTCTTCCCTCTTTCAAAAATGTCAAACAGTCCCCATGCAGAAAAACCTTGTTTACATCTGACTTCTATTAAGCTATTCCTGATCTCTACAGGGTGATCTAGTGTATGTTAACTATGCACGAACTGAAGACTTCTTTAAATTGGAGCGGGAAATGAAGATCAATTGCTCTGGGAAAATTGTAATTGCCAGATATGGGAAAATTTTCAGAGGAAATAAGGTAAAAACCATCTCTTTTTTTTTCCTCTTCCCCAATATAAAAAGTTACAGTGTGTTTTACATGTGTATAATTATTTTCTTAAAACTTTACGAATACCATTATCTTCTTGTATTCTGTGACATGACGTCCTTACAGAAAGGACACAATTTACTAGTTTATATCCCGGGGTTATATTTGATCATTGGAATTTGGCCAGTGTAGATGGTTAGGGTGAACAGAACAAATTTTTCTGTGCTTACAGGTTATGCCTGTGGCCTACAAAGAAGGATGTACTGGGTTTATTGTTAATTTTTAGTATCTTTGTTTTAAATATTATCTTAAAAAAATTTACTAAATTAAATTATAGTGTGAATTGTTATAAATACTGAGGGAAAACAATTTATACATAGCAAATTTTAAAATTACTGTCATTTGATTTGTTAATAAATATATTTTTCTCTTTAGTGGAAAATTAATTTTAAAAAAATTCCCTTTCGATTATAGAACAAATAGAAATGTGGCCTGTGGGATCTACCTGCTTATTGTACTTCTAAACCAGTGGAAGGACATATAGCAAATACTAGCTCCCACTAACATGAAAATGTCCAAATCTGCCACTCTGAGGATTTTTGGAGCTTATAGTAGCAAAAAGAAACGGGCAATTCTCTGTGAGATGTTCTTCATAGTAGGCCTAATGACAAAAGGTTAAAAAGTTCTACTACTCATTTATTTAAGTGTAATTTGAAAATTGATATTACTGAATCTGGAACAAGCAATTTAAAATAAGAAAAGAAAGACACTGTGTTTTGTAGGTTAAAAATGCCCAGCTGGCAGGAGCCAAAGGAGTCATTCTCTACTCAGACCCTGCTGACTACTTTGCTCCTGGGGTGAAGTCCTATCCAGATGGCTGGAATCTCCCTGGAGGTGGTGTCCAGCGTGGAAATATCCTAAATCTAAATGGTGCAGGAGACCCTCTCACACCAGGTTACCCAGCAAATGGTGAGTGGTCAAGCCTCAGTTATCACAGGAAACTTAACATTTCAAAGAGACTTTATTAAAATTCCTTTGGCACAATGGACTAAGCATGTCTTTTTTTATTCTCTTTGCATTTAAGAATAAAAGAATTTTGAACTCTAAAATGATTGGTTCAAGCCCCTTACCCCTTATTTGGACACTTGGGCCTGATGGGTTTTCAAATTCAGACTTTTTCAGGTATTACACATATACCATAATATGTGTAATATGGTATTACACATATACCATAATTTGCATAACACTGACATAGGGGACTGGGACAGAATATGGAGAAAAAGCATATAAATATTTTTGCTGCAGAGTGTATGAATATTTATACTAAGTGGTAAATGGGATGTGGGGAATAAGGAATATTAACAGATTCATGTCTGCTAAAGTCCAATTTTGCTTTCAAATGAGTTCAGGTTAGATCAGGCTTTGCTGCTAAATAAATTCCCCCAGAATTACAGATTTCACAGTGGTTTTGGTTTTCACAATTGTCAGTAAGGGACAGGAGAGTAGAAGTTCTATAAACTTGTTGAAAGGATACAGAGCCCACGAAATGTATATTGCTTCATTGCTATAGAAAGATAACAGAGATAACTTTCAAAGAGTGTTTCCTAAATGCCAGCATTTTACTTGCATGAACAACCCTAAGTCTAGGTGGTGTTATCTCTTATTTGACAGGAAAGGAAAGTGAGACTGGAAGTCTGCCCAACATCACTACTCCTCTAAATGAGCAGTTGGATTCAATTTCAGGCAGTCTGGCTCCCAGAGTCCACATACTGGTCTTATGCTGAAGGGCTCCCCTATAAAACATTAACGAAGGACGCTAATTTATTTTTAATGTACTCAACTATTTGATGATGTTTACAAAAATCTGTGCTCATTTAGTTTGTGTGGTTTAAAACTAAACCTTTAAAACTTGTGTAAAATACTTTGCGAAGTTATCTTTGGTATTTACATCTTCATCTGGTTTTACTCTTAAATTGTAGACTCCTGTAAAGATTATGTATTTTTTTGGCTTTGTAAATCTTCTTAGGACGTAATACATTGTCATAGATTTCTTTCTTCTTTAAAAATATGATACCTATTGCCCTATAGTAAAATTACATAAATCTACCTGAAATTTATTTACTCCACCCTTTTATTTCCAAGTTTTAGAAAATGTGGCTTAGCCTAAGCTTTATTAGTTATACAAAATCAAAATAATGAAAATAAAATGAGATTAATTGGAATGTTTCTGTTGATTTTTTTCAAATTTGAATTATGATATTTTAGGGAAAAAATGATGTTATTTTTAGGGGCTAATATTTATTAAATTATTTATTGTGCCCTATTCATGTTTCTCTTCCTTTTAATTTTACTTTTTATTATGGTATAATTCTAACATATATGAAAGTAAAGATAGTCATGAACATGGTGTCATTCTTGTTTTATCTGTTCGTCACTTCAAATTTTTGCAATTATTCTAGAGAATTTGAAATCAAATCCCACACAACATATTTTTATGTCATTTTTGCCCATAACAAAATAAGGATTTGCAATTACCTAAGTTTCTTATTAGATTGTTTTAAAATGTAGAGAAAAAAAATGGAAAAACAGCTCTAATTTTTCTTAAATCTGAAGAGATGATAGAATGTATGTGCTTATTTTGAAGTAGAGTTTACATGCAATAAAATACATAGATCTCAAGAGCTCAGTTCAATAAATTTTGAAAATTGCCTGTCCTTATGTCACTTAAAATAGGATATAACGGCATTTCCATCACTCCAGAAAGGTCTCTTGTGCCCCTTTCTGGTTAATTTTCTTTGTATCCCCTAGAAGCAATCACTTTCTAATATCTGGCATCATGTATTAGTTTGCCTGGTTTTGCACTTCAAGTAAATGGAAATTGCTTTGCTTATTTCAGTGTAGTGATTTGAGATTTTCCATTTTATTGCATGTATTAGTAGTTTTTTTCTTTCAATGATTAGATAGCACTGCATTGTGGGATTATACTACGGATTGTTTATTCATTCTCCTGTTCTTTGAAACGTGGACTTTGTCTAACATTTGGCTAATATAAATAGGCCATTATGAACAATTTTGTACAGGTCTTCTTATGGGCATGTGCTCATCTTTCTAGAGTAAATACTCAGGAGTGGAATTGTGCCATGGTTTACATTTCTGCTTGGCATTGCTTTTCCAAAGAGTTACCCTAAGTGATTGTGTAATTTTAGACTCTCACAAGGAATGTGGGAGTTCAGTTGCTCCACATTCTTGCTAACATTTGAAATTGATAATCTGTTTTAACAATTCACAGTAAATGTGAAATGAGAATGTATTTGATGCGATTTGTAGAGAACCGTTTGATTGGAACTGAGTTTTTACTGGAAATATGGCCATTTTTTTTTTTCTTTCAGAGTATGCTTACAGGCATGGAATTACAGAGGCTGTTGGTCTTCCAAGTATTCCTGTTCATCCAATTGGATACTATGATGCACAGAAGCTCCTAGAGTAAGTTTGTAAGAAACAATGGATAGCTGTTTGGGTAATTTTCATTATTGATAGTTTTCTAATGTTAGGCTTTATCTCCATTTTTTAAATACTTATGTTTTCCAAGATGGGTACTGCTTGTAATTTTATCACTCCTAAAATAGAACAGTGATTCTGTTCTGGAATTTAATATATACATGAATATCTAGTGTATGACAGCCATGAAAATGAGCCTTTCAGATATTTAACTGCAGGGAGCATAATCGATCAATTGCTCCAGACACTGTGCTTTGAAACTCTACTCTATTTGCGTCAAGACCATGCTTCCTGTAGGTGTTCTTGGGCAAAGACTGAGTGTGGCAAGGATACTACTACAGGCCTGTTCCTGGAAGGCATCGGACTCCTCTGATGCAAAACTTTGGCCCAGGGACTCCCTGACAGCCTGGCTCAAACAGATGCTGCACCCAACACTCCTCTTTCTTTTTTTCCTCCCTTTCTCCTTTATTCAATGTTAGACCTACATTGCAGTCTAAGAGCTTTCTCAGCCTTTCCTAGCTCTCTCCTTTCTTTACACACAGGCTTTCCTCTAGTAAATCTCTGACTCATGTATACCTCTTACTATGAGAGCAACTTCCCTTTTGTTTCTATCTCTATTCCTCTTCCTCTTCTGCTTTCATTCTCAAAACTTTCCCAGATTTGTTCTGCCTAACCTGGCATTGGAACTCTTTCCTCTTACCTGTGCTGCTTTCTCCCATCGCCATGTCCTTCTTCCGTTCTTCTTTAGAGGGGTGAGAACACTGGCTTTTCTAAAAGTGAAATTGATAGAGACCGAAGTGTTTGGCCAGTTAGTCCCTTTTCTTCTTTGAGTTCAAGCCTTTCTTAATCATCTATTCCAGTATCTATGAGGAAGCATTTTTTGACCAAGGGTGAAGCACTTATTTTTATAGGTGAGGAGGCTGACATCTGGAGAGTTGGACACATCTGTTCAATTTAAGAGTAGATTAAGAAAGTAACCTGTTCTTTTTTCTTTGGGGCTATAAGCTGTACTACATTGGTTAAGATTCATGACCATGCACAACTTTTTATAGCACCATAGACTATGTATTTGCCTTAAAATATTTATAAATAAAGGCAAAGTATTCATAATATTTAAAAGATAAAAGTGATTATAGCATTACTTTTAATAGTGGAAACCTGTAGACAACACAAATCTTCAACTATTGATATGCAGTCAAATAATACATTAATGACTATGATAGTAAATAAAGTGATTAAAAGATATTATGTATTGTACCAGAATAATTAATGTACAAAAATGATTATGATATACTATTAAGTGAAGAAAAGCAAATTTCAAAACAATATATGTAGTATTATTTCAATTATATAAAACTTAAAACATGAACCTGTATTATCTTTGTAATTAGAAAAAAGTGCATAATATCATGGAATTAGATGTGAGACTTATTTAAACATCTACAATTTGGTCTGGTTTGCTAGGTAAGTATCAGCTGTGCTCTAATGGTGTAATGGAATTATCTGATGGAAAAACTACAAATGCAGTTCATCTAATGTTACTGTGTCAGCCTCTGCAAGCCATTTGACAAATGCAATCACTGTTAATAACATAATTTTCATGGAAAAGTGCATTTCACATTCAAAACACCATAGAACACTTCCTGTTTACCCATACTTTCTAAGCCACAATGAAACAGTCCTCATAATTGGAATTTAGTTTTAAAAAATTGTTTAAAAGAACATATGGTTTGTTTATTAATTTCACTGTGAAAATTTACTCTCTTTATACATTTATCTTGGGAGTGTGCCGGTTGTCCCTGATAGTCTATTCTCAGATTCTCTCATGCAGTTAGCAGCTTAATGCTGTACATTCATTAGAAAAGATATTTTACAAATGTGATATATCATGAAATAAAAATTCATTAATAAATGTGAGAAGATGAGGAGAGTTATGAAGTCATATAATGGCCCAAGAATGCTAAGAACTTAAATAAATAGTTCATGAAATGTGAATGACAGTAAAAACTGCATGTTGACTTGTGTTAGAGAGAGAGGGAATACCATGTATGTTTTTTCCTGTTTTTCCTTACATCTATACTGGACAGAGTGTGATTATGTGATTTTAAGTTGCCTTCTAGAGTAACTTCTACGTCGATAATTATAGTGCCAACAGTAACAGTAATAATAATAGCATGTATCCTGTATGGAGTGCTAATTACGCTTTAGCGTTTACTATTGTGCTGAATGCTTTACATATATCTTCTCAATTAACCTATAAAACAACTATATGGGTTAGTATTGTGATACTCATTATAACCAACGTTCAGATAGTGAGAGAGTCGAGGCCAAAACTCAGGTCTGATGCAAAAGACAGTTTGGTATACCCTACTTACTCTCAACACACGCATTTAGCAGGCACTTTTATTGATTATGGTGTTGTCTCATTCTTATGCCTCTGTTCAGGAGACATTTAGCAGCTTCTCACAGACCATTCACTCAAGGAACATTTATAGAATGACTTCTATATTTCAAGCACTGTGGTAAAAGTAGGAATTATGTAAAGTCAGTAGTAATGTCCTCTCTTGTATTCTTGATTTTGGAAATTACAATCTTCCCTTTTTAACTTGGTGAGTCTGACTAATGGTTTGCTAATTTTGCGGATTTTTTAAAAACTACCCTTGGTTTCATTGATTTTCTCTATTCTCTAGTTTATTATTTCTCCTTTAATCTTTGTAATTTCCTTTCTTATTCTTTAAGAGTTTAGTTTTGTTTTCTTTGTGGAGTTTCTTTCTTTTTTTTTTAAATATATATTTTATTGATTTTTAGGTTTTGGGGTACATACGAAGAACATGCAAAATTGTTGCATAGGTACATACATGGCAATGTGGTTTGCTGCCTTCCTCCCCATCACCTATATCTGCCATTTCTCCCCATGTTATCCCTCCCCAACTCCCCACCCCCCACTGTCCCTCCCCTAGTTCCCTCCTGTAGACCCCAGTGTATGATGCTCCCCTCCCTGTGTCCATGTGTTCTCATTTTTCATCACCCTCCTATGAGTGAGAACATGTGGAAGCTTAGCTTATTGATTTGAGATCTTTCTACTTTTTTAATAGATGTGTTTACAGCTATGTATTTTCCTTTAAGCACTGCTTTAGCTGCATCTCATAAGTATTGGCATGTTGTGTCTCTGTTTTCATTCATCGCAAGCATTTTTAAATTGTACTTGTGGGTTCTTCTTTGACCCATTGGTTATTTAAGAGTTAGTTGTTTAATTTCCATATATTTGTGAATTTCTTAAATTTATTTTTGTTATTTATTGCTATATTCCTTTTTTTTGTGGTTGGATTAAAAAAAGAAATATATAAGTAATAAAATAATTGTAGAATTTCAGCCTTTTAAATTTATCCAGACTTGTTTTACAGCCATGGTTTTTTATGAAAAATGTTCCATGTGCACTTGAGTTACACTATTTTTCAATTTCTTTTTCAAGGAAACTTAGTCATTTTCTATCCCAGCCAGAATAATCATCATGCCTTACACTTGGTCTATGCTTGCCTACCTCTGTGCCTGGAATGCTCTTCGCCTTCATTTTTCCATGCCTATCTCTTACCCATCCTTTAAAATCCAGATCAAATGAAACTTTCTTTAGAAAATAATTCCTGATCTCACAAATTGAATCAAGCTTTCTTTTGTCCACATTATTAGAACTTTACCTTTGATCTGTCATGTTCTGTTTTATATTATGGTTAGTCTTATACGTATTTTCTTCTGAGTGATTTATAAACTCTTTGGTGGAATGACTGGGTCTTGTACATATTTATATTTTTTAGTAAATAAAACACAGTGCTTTAAACATAGTGGACAACACATCTTCTCCTAATGGTCAAAGCAAAATTAATATGCTACAAGATACAGAATTATAAGCTCAGTACTGTCTATACATTAATTACTAAGCATCTACAGTCTACCAAATATGTTGAGACATTTTACAACATTTATTTATGCTTTCTAATATTTTTATGGTTTGAAATTCTAATATTCAACTTTTAAATATTTGTGGTATTTTCTATTTATAAAGTAAGAAAAGGACCTAAAGAGAGTTATACTTCAGTAATGTTTTTCAACTGAAACCTCTAGTCTCCATGTACATGCATAATTTTTTTCATTGGTATATTAGATTCTTATATCTAACTATTGTAATGTTGTCTTCTACTCATCTGTTGACCTGTTCTTGTGAGGACACTACAGTTGTGGCTTTGTATTGTATTGTTTTATGGGAATATGGACTATTAATTTTTATTTTGAAAAGGAAATACATTTACAAAGTTCACAATTCAAAGGGATTTATAGTAAAGATTTTGTCTTATTCATTTACACCCCCAAAGCAACTGATGTTATTAGTTTACGTATATTAGCGTCGCTCTCTGCTGCAGAGAGGGGTCCTAGAAAAATGTGTTGTTGGTCCACCACAAAATGCAGAGGGTTTTATAGATCAGCTGGTGAGGAGGCGATGTCTGATTTACTAAATCATGGAAAAACAGTTAGACCAGGCGATGTCTGATTTACTAAATCATGGAAAAACTGTTAGACCAGGTGTGCCATTTGCATAGGGTGTGAATTTCTGGTAGCCCCACCCTAATCTTTTATTATTCAGGTGCGTTCTCTGCATGAGTTGCGCCATGTTGCTCATTTTTCTGTTACTGTACACATGGTAACAAGAAAAGGGAAGATGGATCTTCCCTGTTGTACAAACCTGGCCCACCAGTAGTCCTTTTCTATTGCCACAGCTGCCAGCGTTCCCCCACACTGTCAGCTTCCTAATCTATGTTTGCAACTCGATTTTTCAGGCTGCTTTTTGTTAGAAAAAAAACTATGTGGGCTGCTTTTTGTTAGAAGGAAAGTTCTGCCGAGGACTCTGTTGCCCCCATTATCTGCCTAAATAATTTCTTTCTACCTCCCATATCAATATCTTACGTATGATTAAGTATATTTATATTTGTTACTTGCCTTTTGCAACTTTCCTGTATATTTCCATACTCTGCTGTTTTGACTATCTGTTATGCTTTCTACCATTGTAAAATACCTCTTCATGTTGCTTGATGTTTTATGCATGACATTTTATTGTAGATAGTTGAAATAAATTCTATAGTACATTACTTGAAATTCTGTTTAATGTCCGAACTTTTTAGTCAAAAGGGAAAAAAGAGAGGCATTATTTACACTTTGATAGAGCATTTTAAAACAAGATACTACTTCTAATGAATTTTTCATGAGAAAGTGATCTTACTGATTATTTTCTTATTGCATGTGCAGTAGATTCTAGGTTAAGTTGAGCTATTCACATTTTCTCAAATCGGTAGACAGGGAACAAGCAGCTGTGTACAGGCACAGAAGAAAACAGGACACTGCAGAGCGTGCTGCATGGCAAAGCGTGGAGTGCACGAGGGTGTGTGATCACAGGGGGAGCCATAAAGGACAGACTAAAATTCTCTACTCTCAATTTTGTAACTGAACATCTCAGTATAATATCAGATAATGACATTTATTTATCGAGGCCATTATTTAAGTGGAGCTGTGTTTAAGGTTTGGGATATTCATTTAATGGGAACAAAATGGCCCTGGTAGGCCCAAAGAAGTGTGTTTCTGACTTACAGCTGGATATTCATAAAAATATAGTTACCGTTAAGGTAGAAATTTTTCCGTTTGAACACTCAGTCTCTTAAGTTTGTCTCTCTGTAGCTAGTTAGTAAAAGTATATTGTTTTCCATGCCCAAATCAAGAATAAGTCAATCCATCATCTTAATAGAGTAACAGCAGATATGCTGAAGAGAAACTACAAGAACCCCACCATTTCATAAACATGACCATGTTTTCTTTCTCTGTCACCTGCTGAGAGATAATCACGAGCTGTGACATACACCGGGTGGTCTGCCTGAATCTTTATTTCTGAATTTAAAAAAATAATGTGAAACTTTTAAGGGCTTCTGAAGTGAAATCCTTTCTTTTGATCTGCCTGTCTTCTTAGTAGGTGTGTATGAAAGTACTTTGTTAAAAATCATCATAGACCAGTGAGACAAATAACAATGGAAGATTTCAGAGAGTTAATCAAGCTCTTTCTTCAGTACATGCTCTGGAAAGCACATTTAGATTCACCACTAGAGTCAGGTAACACGGATCAAGTTATTATCAATAATTTGAATCTTAGTTATACCATTTACTAGTTGCATGACTTTGGGCATGTTATCAAATATCTAAGCCTCCTGTGCCTCATCTGTGAAGCGGAGGTAGCAATTCCTCAGAATTGTGGTAAGGTTTAAACGACATATTATATCCAAATCGCTTTGCACCATTGAAGATATTATGAACAGATGCTCGAGAAAGTGAATCCATTGACATTTTAACGTGTTACCTCAAGGTTTTTTGTGGCTAATAATGCTTTTTTTGTGTGTCCAACAGAAAAATGGGTGGCTCGGCACCACCAGATAGCAGCTGGAGAGGAAGTCTCAAAGTGCCCTACAATGTTGGACCTGGCTTTACTGGAAACTTTTCTACACAGTTAAGAGACTATTTTAATTTTAGCTCTTTTAAGGGGGAAACTTAGAGAAAAAAAAAAAAACTATAGAGGATGACAGAAAAAATAAAATGTATCTAATACCAGCAGGAAACAAAACTGCAAGTTAGAACTAGTGTCATTTTTGCCTGTGAACAATTAGAAATCTTTAAACAATTATGGAAGATTTTAAGATTATGGGTGTTGTTAGAACTTAGAAAATGGATAACCCAAAGTGTGATGTTTTGGAATGCTGAGCACTTGAACTAAAAAGGATAAAAGGCCTTAGATGCAGCCTCAGAATCAGGGAGTTTCTGATCTCCTACTTCTCCCTGCAAGAGCACAGTGGAAGTTTCTCTCTGAAGTTCCCGTATCTAAAGCTCCTGCAGAAGGAACACAATGACCTTCCTTTCCCTCCCTGAAATTTTATTCACCAGGGAAGATGAACTCATATAGTAGGAAGGAAGAATGAGGCATATCACTGCATCTACACAGGCTTTGTCACAAACTGTTGACTATTCTGTAGTTCCATTCAAGTTCCAAGAATTACTCACAAACCATTGCCTGCTCTTCCCACCCGTTCAACTATCTTATAAACTGCTTACCACCCCTCAAAACCACCTGTACTCCGCCACTTCCCCCTCCCCTACGAAGAGGGGGCTAGTTAAACTTCAACCATTTGGCCCTTCTTTGAGTCTCAAATTTTGTTTGGCTCCTGTGTACCCTTGTGTATAAATTTGTATGCCTTTTCTCCTGTTAATCTATTTTCAGTTTATTTTACCAGACTTGAGCCTTCAAAGGCAGAGGGGAAAATTCCCTTAACCCTTATAGTGTTAATCTGTTAACCAATTTTTTTTTTAAAGAATGTCTTTTATCTTTGCATTAGAAAAGTCAAGATGCATATCCACTCTACCAGTGAAGTGACAAGAATTTACAATGTGATAGGTACTCTCAAGGGAGCAGTGGAACCAGGTAAAGGAATCATTTGCCTAGCAAATATTGATTGAGTCATTGTTATGTGCTGAATACTGCCAGGCTGTGGGAGTGCAAAGTGAACCAACACAAACAAACAAAACCAGTGGAATTCACCTAAAAACAAAAGAAATAAATATGAAATAATTTTGTACTGTGATACATGTGGTGAAGGAAAGTGAACGTTTCATTGGGCAAGCGACCAAGGTGAATAATAAATTGTGCTGGCCACATTTAAAGGATCAAGGAAGGCAGGTTAGGGAAAGATGTGGTTTTTCTGAGTTTTCTGAAATATTTTTACTGTACATTTTGCATAGGGAAATATCTTCATGATCACTAGAAACATCTATATAAAATATCACACTTTTAGAAAATTAAGATTATCTTATATTAATGAATCCTTTGCATAGTTTTCTTTTCCACAGCTACAGTCACTGATGAAATATATATATACATATGATTTCCATAGAAGTTCAGATGATCTACTGATTTGTACATTTTATGCATAGTCTTAGCTCATGAAGCTTCAGTTCCTTATGAACTATTTGGTTCTGTATTTCTTACCAAAACAGATACTATTAAATGCATATTAAAAATATTAATCACTGTTTCTTACAAGCAGCTAGTGATTGATTTTAGATCAAGAATATTGATATCCTTCTAATGAGTACTAAATAATATATAAGTGGCTATTATTGAATAAAACTGAGTACCTATTTTGTGCCAACTCTGTTATAAGCATTGGAGATGGGGAGCTAGATAGACACAGACCCAAGACAAAGAGCTCACAGTTTGTGAAGGGAGCCATACGCTTAAGTGTCATAAATGCTTTATCACCCTTGAGAGCTGGATAGGCAGAGAAATACCCTCTTCTATAGAAAATAAACAGGTTCATAGAGGGAGAAAACATTTGAGCTGTACCTTAAAAATTGGATAGAAAGAATAAGAAATGTACAACTTCCTATGGGGCCACTATGTTCCCTTACTTTGAAAATATTAGAAAGTGGTAAGTTAGGTAAGAGAGGAGTAATAGAGAATCATAAAAAAATGTGAATAAGGGTAACGTTATACTTTCTTAGTTACCTATATGTCATACATATAATTATAGTAATACATTGAAATATGTATTTGCTTTATCACATTTATGCTTTCTCAGATAGACGAAGCACATACTAAAATCAGAAATAACATATTTGCACAAATCTTCAGAAACCTAGCCTTTTTTTTTTTTTTTGAGTCATGAGTGCTTTGTATTTAGATGCTTTGAGTCTTTTGCAGTTTTCTCTTTTATTGACCTGAAATGACAAATAATCTTGCATCAATGCTTTCTAGACAGATATGTCATTCTGGGTGGTCACCGGGACTCATGGGTGTTTGGTGGTATTGACCCTCAGAGTGGAGCAGCTGTTGTTCATGAAATTGTGAGGAGCTTTGGAGCACTGAAAAAGGAAGGTAATACAAAGTGCAAAAAAGCCAACCCATCTAAGCCTCAGTTTAGTCTTCTGTAAAGTGAGCATGAAAATACTACCTCAACCATTACATGTGTTCGTCAAAACACCAATACAACTGTTAATGTTGGCTAGTTAATTATATTGTTTATTTATTTTTGCATTTATTTATATAACATTTATATTATTGATATATATTCAATGATTATCTGAAATAAAGGAATTTTACTGTTAACAGTTGTTCTTGGCAACTTAAAAGATGAAGATGGGTCTCATCACTAGAGAAAACACACTGGAGTTGAATTATAAGCCAAAGCTTCCTAGTCAGAAACTGTAAGCAGATGTTACTCGGTCTCGTCTAACCTCAGACCTCAGGCTAAGTGTACTGAGTCACTAACGAGATAGATGCTCTATTCAGAGAAATACCAATCTTATGCCTAATGGGATTCTGTCAAAAGTCTGATATCTGTATTCTCATAACCTAAGCCCTGGGTGCTCTCACAAAAATTTGATTTATACTCATAACATCACCACCTTAGCCATTTTAGAATTTTCATATAAAGCCAAAGTAAAATTTAATTCAAATGTTTGCTTTTTAAAATAGTAATTACAGATTGAGAGCAGAAAGTTCGTTATCTTTATTGACCCTGCCAACAAGGTGTCTGGGGACTATAAAATGTAATCTATGTATTTTTAGCAACAATAAAAACAATCCTAATGTATGATGTTTGCATAATATTTACTTTCTTTGAGAAACTATTTTTATATGTCCTACCTATTTTCAAGTCCTAGCAACTAGGAGGAAGACATACATATTTATCTTCTCATGTTACAGATAAGTTAATCAAGGTTTAGAGAATCAAGTATTTTTTCCCAGGATTATGTAGCTAGCATGTGGCAGAATAAGAGAACCAGGGCTCAAACTCAAATTTCTGACTACCAGTCCACAAAACCATGATGTCTCTATTTAAAATAAAATGTAAAGGTGCTCAGTTATTTTCTATACACAGCTATCTCATATATACATGGAGTTTCTCTCTTGTTGCCCAGGCTGAGGTGCAATGGAGCAATTTCAGCTCTCTACAAACTCCCCCTCCCGGTTTTCAGCAATTCTCCTGCCTTGGCCTCCTGAGTAGCTGGGATTACAGGCATGCACCACCCTACACCTGGCTAATTTTTGTATTTTTAGTAGAGATGGGGTTTCGCTATGTTGGCCAGGCTGGTCTCGAACTCCTGACCTGAGGTGATCCACCTGCCTTGGCCTCCCAAAGTGTTGGGATTACAGGCTTGAGCCACTTGCCAACAAAAGAATGGAGATCTAAATTTACATAGTTCACGAAGTAGGTAGTGTTTAATTTTATTACAAAACAGTTTCATGATTTAGCTAGGACATTCCTGTGGTAACTATACAAAACATCACTGTGACAATTATAGAATATGTCAACGAAATGGAATGCTGATGAATAGTAGAAAATTTGAACAATACTATTGACAAAACTAAAAGACTGTAGTCAATAGCTATAGTATACACATTCTTAAGCACACATGAAATATTTACTAAGATGATGACAAGTCAGAATTTTGGGGGCACCTACTAAGTGCTTTCTAATCATTATTCCATTTAATCATCCCACAATCAAGTGGTGTCTTTATCTTTACTCTCTTGTTCCTGGGACACAGATGAAGAAATGAAAGTGTAGTAGGTATGAGTAACTTTCCCTCAGTCATGCAGCTAGTGAGAGAATCAAGGTTTGACACAAGATGTTGCCTTAACTCCATGGTCAGTGTTTATAACATACAAGAAACATCATCCTCACTCTTGAATTATGTGGTTTTCAGCAACAGCAAACATTGCTGTTGCTAACTGAGCCCTTTTTGATAAATTCTGGCAGAGAATGGAGTGAAATGATACAACAAGTTGATAATGAACAATTGTTCATTTGATGTCAGAACAATAAGAAAGCGTTCTAAAGGATTTTCTTTCTGTTACATCTGCTTTCGGAACACCGAATGCATCTGGAAATTTCTTCCTTTGTTTTAAGCAGTTGCAGACCACCAATTACTTATTACTCCTTATGAATTGCCAATCATTATAAAATTATTAGAATGTTTTATGACCTTGCAAGATTTTTACTGTCTACATTTCCCCTCTTTTCTATGTAATTGTGTTATTTTGTATTTACAACTTTAAAATCGTACAAAGGAAAATTACGTAAGTAAAGATTTTTACCACAATTTGCCTTTCCCAAACAATGACTTTTTTTTTTTTTTCATCTGGGCTTGGTAGTGTCCTGGGTATATTATGAATTTTTTCCAGCATTTTAATATACACATATATTTTAGGGTGGAGACCTAGAAGAACAATTTTGTTTGCAAGCTGGGATGCAGAAGAATTTGGTCTTCTTGGTTCTACTGAGTGGGCAGAGGTTAGTAGGTAATTTGCTACAATATAACTTTTTGTAAAATAAAGTAGCCAGGACTTATTTGGCAAGCATGTAAAAATGAGAAGTGAATATAATGAGAAAATATTCAAAGCTTTTTTTCCCCTAAAGTCTGAAGCAACATTTTCTTGTTCAAAAATCAGCAATAAAAATATCTGTTGCTAAAGAACTAGGTGGTTTTTTTTTTTTTTTTTTTTTTTTTTTTTGAGATAGAGTCTCACTCGGTCACCCAGGCTGGTTTGCAGTGGTGCAGTCTCGGCTCATTACAACCTCCACCTCGCAGGTTCAGGCGATTCTCTTGCCTCAGCCTCCCGAGTAACTGGGACTACAGGCACATGCCACCATGCCCAGCTAATTTTTATTTTTGTATTTTTAGTAAACATGGGATTTCACTGTGTTAGCCAAGATGGTCCTGATCTTCTGACCTCATGATCTGCCCGCCTTGGCCTCCCAAAGTGCTGGGATTACAGGCGTGAGCCACCATGCCAGGACAAGAACTAAGTTTTGTTTGAACTTTTTAGAGCCACTTAATTTCAATTATCAAAATTAATTTATCTTTATTTCCTGGGAGTATGATAGTAAATAAGTAGGTATGCTAGAAACCAAACATCAAAACAAGGAGTCATTTTCTTAACCACACTGTAGTTTATTCTTTAAAATACTGTCTTAGCAAATATGAACGATCTAACAGACTTTTCAATGAATATCTTCCCATAAACATCTCATTTAAATGGATAACCTTGTTTGGTTCTTAGAGAATGAAGCTATTTCAAATTTATGAAAAATGGGAGTTAAATTGTTTCTATTTCCTGACCATGAAATCAAATTCCTCTGTTTCATGTTTGGTTTCTATCTTGATTCTATTACACTTTCCAAAATATCTCCTAAAGCTAACTACATTTTTTTTTTTTTGAGATGGAGTCTCACTCTGTTGCCCAGGCTGGAGTGCAGTGGCATGGTTTCTGCTCACTGCAACCTCAGCCTCCTGGGTTCAAGTGATCCTCCTGCCCCAGCCTCCTCGGTAGCTGGGATTTCAAGCATGTGCCACCACACCTGGCTAATTTTTGTATGTTTAGTAGACACAGGGTTTTGCCATGTTGGCCAGGCTGGTCTCGAACTCCTGAGCTCAAGTGATCCGCTGCCTCAACGTCCCAAAGTGCTGGGATTACAGGCATGCACCACCACACCTGGCAGTAAGGTATACTTTTCATTTATCTTTCTTAATTCATAACGACCTACTCTATATTAAATTATGCTAAAAGTAAGTCAGAAACTTCCACCACAGGATATTTACTAAGCCCTTTGAAAAGTAATTTTACTTGCATGTATTGTTGGCTTTATATAGCAGTAACATTAGCTATAAAGTAAATATATGCAAAGTCAATGTTTATTTCACTAATTTCCAGTCAAGCTGCAAGTATTTATTGACTCCTGTCATAATCCAGATATTATGTGAAACCCTGTAAACTTTAATTTTCTTTGGAAAAAAAAATGCTCCTGTAGACCTAGTCAAAGTTTTAGAAGAAAGAATTATGCAAATATCTGGAAGAACCTAAAGATTTTCGTGGTGTGATTTGTGTCTTTCAAATTATTTTTTCACTTACAGTTGCTTTTTTTTCCATTTTTTTATCTTAATGTCAGAATGCTTAGGAAATTATGTACTTTAGAGACTCAGAATCCACATTGATATTTCAAAAAAAAACTTTGCTACACGTTGTTCTAAAAATGTTCAATTATCATTATTGACCAGTAGATGGTGCCATCCTACAGGAGAACCTGACTTCATGGTCAGATGATTTAAGTTCACATATTTTTCATAATATGAAATTTAACTTGAAATTTTATAAACTCAAAATACCTTCATTCCATATGACTCAAATTCTTTGCTTAAATAATGAGATGTTTATAGGAAGATTTTTGCTGAAAAGTCTAAGGTCTTTCATGTTTGCTAAGACAGTTTTTTGAAGAATAAACTACAGCATGGTTAAGAACTTAACTTTTTCCACTTACCGTAAGTATATGAACAGTTTCATCTTAAATATTGGCTTTTAATACGTTGTGCTTGTTGTTTCCTACCAATAAGCTTTATTGAAATTCTTTCAAAGCAGCTGTTATTTGAGAATTTCTTATGTCAAATTTGTCATTAATGTGGGTCAGCTTAATTAGAAATCCACATACATTTAATGTAGGTGTTCATTTTGTGGGGGAGGGGGAGTGGGTTGTAACTTTATGTGTATAGTTTTCTTTTTTATTGTAGGAGAATTCAAGACTCCTTCAAGAGCGTGGTGTGGCCTATATTAATGCTGATTCTTCTATAGAAGGTGAATACCGTTGTTCTCATAAGAAAAGATGTGATGAAACTAGGAGTGCGTAGTTAATAAATTATGCATTAACAAGGAAGGCTATCTATTCACATGTGGTTGGGGAATCTGCTGCAGCCTCTGACAGGAAACAGCGTGTGAACTCTAGTTGAGAGTTGTGTGAGTCCTAGGTGAGCAGGTTCCTTTTTTCCTTTGCTTCCCTTTTCTTTCTTTTCCTTCCTTCCTCCCTTCCTTCCTTCTTTCCTTCTTCTTCTTCTCCTCCTCCTCCTCATTCTTCTTTCTTTCTATTTTTTTTGCTTTGAAGTATAGAGTACTAATTCAGAAAAGCAGCATTCTTTGATTAGCTTCATCTGGCAGATTTATTTTTATATACAGCAGGAATTTAGTAAGTATCTGTTGAATGATTAAGTCAGGGACCTAAAGAGTTCTATACTTTAGAATGGTATAGAAAAACAGTACCATTTGAGGTGCACGGTGGCTCGTGCCTGTAATCACAACACTTTAGAGGCTGAAGTGAGTGGATCACTTAAGGTTAGAAGTTCAAAACCAGCCTGGCCAACTTGGTGAAACACCGTTGCTGCTACAAATGCAAAAATTAGCCAGGCATGGTGGCTCACTCAGTGTAGATAATATACTAAATCAATCTTGAATTATAATTCACGCAGGTACTTTAAAAAGGTTAAGATCAAACTGCTCTGAGAGTTCAGAGGAGAGAATAATAGAAACTTCAGGAAAGGCTTAAGAAATAGGATAGGCATTCGAGGCTGACTTTGAAGAATGGAAATACTTTCAATAAGCAAATGGTCAAACTAAAGGAAATCTCAGATTGATTTCCATGAAAATGAAAGAGTCCATTGTCACTGCACTCCAGCTCTGCTGTTAATTCTGTATCTTGACCGTATGCAATATCCCGGCCATTGCACTCCTGTTCTCTACACTCAGATTGCTCTCCAGCACCTCTTTACCTGTTTAATTCTTATCCGTAAATCCTTTGAAATGTTACTATTTCAGGGAAGACATGTCTTTGTAGCACTCATTACTGTCATTATTCAATTTTTGTCTTACAAATAATAGACTGTATTCCTTAACAAGGAACAGACAGTATCTTGCTTATTCACTCCTGGATTCCTAATATCTTATTAGATAAATATTTGTGGCATGGTTGTAAAAACTAAAGGAATAAATGAATGAAGGCGGAATTTTTTTAGAATGTTTTCTGTAGTGTATTAATAAACTGGCTATGACAACACTTAGAACATGAGATCTTGATGGAGTTATGGTGGCATTTGCCTTTTCTTTTTCTGTTTCGTTGCTGTTATTGTTGTTTATTTTTTTGAGACAGAGTCTTACTCTGCAACCCAGGCTGGAGTGCAGTGGAGCGATCATGGCTCACTAGTCTTGACCTCCCCGGCTCAAGTGATCTTCCAACCTCAGCCTCCTTGGTAGCTGGGACTACAGGCAAGCGCTAGATGTCCAGCTAATGCCTGACCTTTGGCATCAGTTGCCTGGATTCATTCCTGGCCCTGACTTCTTATGTGTGACCCAAGTTACTTACTCTCTGTGTCTCAGTTTTCTCACTTCTAAATAGAACTTCTACGAGCCCCTATCTCAAAGGCTCTTGCAAGGGTGAAAAAAAGTTATATTTGCAAAGCTCCCGGACTGTGCCTTGCACAGAGTAAATGTCAAAAAAATGTTAACTTTGATTAATAACATTACGCCTACTAAAAACACATAAGATTTTATATATATATATATATATATATATATATATATATATGTGTGTGTGTGTGTGTGTATATATATGCCCACCCAGAATAAATACTCCAAATATATTTTCTTGAGATGTAGAATAATGTTCTCTTTATTGATAGTTTTTTTTTTTAATTGTGTTATTGTTATTTTGAAATGAGATCTTGTAGTGTTGCCCGGGGTGGTTTCAAACTCCTGAGCTCAATTGATCCCCCCACCTCAGCCTTCCAAGTAGCTGGGACAACAGGTGTTTGCCATCATAGTTGACCTTAGTTTTTTAAGATTGGATATTTTAATGTATTTTAAACAATGATTAGGCTTTGCTACTTATATCATCCCTGGCTTGAAATTGCTTCATTGTGTCTCTATAAATTTCAAAATCAAGAACAAAAGACAGGAGGTACTATATGATTGGGACACCAGTCATCTCATTTTGTTTTATATTTTACATTGTATTAATATTTCTTTCTCAATACAAAGAATAATATATTCTGAAATTTCTAATGTTAAAATGTAAATTTTACAAATAAAGCAAAACTCCGCAATGCAAACCACTCTCAAACTTAGTCCTCTCTCCAAAGGTGCTACTGTCCTCAGTGTTGGATGGTTCCATCATGTTGACATTAATATATAATATTTAGCTCCACAAAGTACCAACAGTGTAGTGGGTGCTATCTCAGGTGCTTTACATGTAAAAATATTATTTAGTATTCACAATAACCCTCTGAGATAAGTAGGTAAATACTTTTATTATCTCTGTTGCACAAAAGAAGAAACTGACACTCAGAGAGGTTAAGTAACTTTCCGAAGGTCACACAGCTAGTGAAGGATTGAGCTTAGACCCAAATCAGGCTGGTCTGTTCCAACTTTATCCTTCTAACTACTATACTCTATTGCCTCCCGCCACCTTATACATCTTGCCTTTTGCATTCAGCAACACATGAAAAACTTTCCATGTCAGCAGACAGCTCTGTTTCCCTTAAAAAACAAGCACTACCACCAGACAACAAAAATCTTCTACTTTGTATTTACTAGGACAATTTCTGTGTCAATTCTGTAGCTGCTGGTCAGATTGCTTCAGTTTGTTGTAAATATTCTTTTATTTGCATGCTTTTCTCATATAATGTGAAGAGAGGGAAGAAAGCTATACTTGTTTGGTCTAGAATGTGTGCGTTTAAATTGTAATCAATGCTGCCAAACTATTTCCCCTTATAAACATTTCCACTCTTATAAATTGTAATAAATGCTGCCAAACTATTCCCCCTTGTAAACATTTCCACTCTTATAAGCACTTCTGTTTGAAAAATTACATTGGCTGTTTCTACATATTTATTCTTCCAGATGAATTTTAGAATTCTAAAATTAAATGCTTAAGTTCCATAAACAATTCTGTGGAGATGTCACTATTTTTAAAGCCTCAACTTTTGTTGTTCTCAAACATGGATCTGAGGCTTTGGGATAAAAGCTGGTTGCCATCCTCTGAGTGTTTTGTGTGCATTTACATTTATGGGCATTTGCACAGGCTATGCCCTTAGCTGCAAATACATTCCCATCCCCCCCAACCCCACCCAACTGTGTTTTTCTGGTTCTAGGAAACTCAGTTCAAGAGTTCCCTCCTCAAAGTTTGTGAAGTTGTCTTGAATCCTTTACCCCAAAACTCCTCCCAGTCAGCAGCCCCTCCCTGCACTCTCTTAGCTTCCCAAGAACTCCTCTCCTGGCTGCTTCACTTCATTGCCACACCCATCAGCCCTAGACCTCCTGAGGAATGGGGACTGCAGCTCTAAGAAGAGCACCTGGCTCACAAATTCATTGTCACGACAAATACTGATTAGTTAAATGCTGAATTCTGGGATCGTGCTAAGCTCTGCGCTATGGAAGCAAACAAAAGAGTGCACCTTCTCCTGTGGGATTGTCTAGTGGGAGCGCTGATAATAAAAAGACAAGTACTTAGTATGTTTTAGGTTAAATAGATGAGTAATGTGGAGAAATATGAGCCAAGGTTGAAAGAGAGAGTGGCTAAAATTAGGGGGTAAGAGAGTGCTATTTTAGGTAGGGCGATCAGGGGAAATCTCTGAAAGGACAGTGTGTGCAAAGATGCTGAGGGAATATTTTTGGGTGGAATGTGAAATGCAGATTTTGAGAGGTGACCTGGGGTGGTTTCATATATGGCACTGTGGGCCATGGTGAGGATGACGGACTTTACAGAGTTAGATGGGAAGCCATTGGAGAGTTAGAGTTAAAATCAGGTTTTACAACAATCATTCTGGCTAGGGAGTTAGTAGTGGTCCTTGAAGAAAATCATAACAGAAAGAAATTAAAGTTTAAAATCTATTATTTTCTTATTTTTCAGGAAACTACACTCTGAGAGTTGATTGTACACCACTAATGTACAGCTTGGTATACAACCTAACAAAAGAGGTAAAAATAATTACATATAATTTATCAAAATTCAAGCTCTACCTATGGTGTTTTCTTGAGGTATTATTATGATAAACACTGATGTTGTTTTCTAACTTCTTGTCTTCTTTTCATATAACAAATATGACATCACATCACCATAGACCATCACATCTAGTAGACTGTTGACACAGGTTTCCTCATTTCTCACCACACCACTGTCAGGTGGCTCATGAGTAGCATTATGTCTACCACCTCCATTCTTAAAACAGTGAAACCGAGCTCAAAGAACATTGGCCACCAAAGTCACACACAACTTGTACAGTAGCTGAACCAAGTTGAACCAACTATGGCTGAACTCCTTAATTTAAAAACGTGTTTATACTCTTCAGTATAGCAATACCAATCAATTCAGGACACAGGAATCGTTAAATGCTCTAATTGATTGAGAAAGAATATTCATAAAAATACCAGCTGCTGGCTTCCAGGGAGAGAGGCTAGGTGAGACCATAATTATATTTTTTCAGATAGGGATTATAAATAAAATTTAAATGTCGTTAAGCTTTGGTTTCAAAAGAATGGAACGGAGGAATGGCCAAGATGACTGACTAGAAGCAGTTATGGTGTGTGGCTCTCACAAAGAGAAATGGGAAGGGCAAGTAAATACAGCACCTTCAACTCAAACATCCAGGCACTCACAATGGGACTAATGAAGGAAACAACCCGACCCAAGGAAAATGGAGAAAAGCAACGCAGTATGACCACGCATTTGGGAAGGACATGGAGTCAAGGAAACCTCCCCTGCCCCGGGAAATGATGAGTGAATGTGAAAACCCAGGAAGCCATGCTTTTTCTGTGGATCTTTGCAACTCGTGAACCCACTCTACCAGGTCCTTCAGTCTGACACACAGAGCTGCATGGAATCTTGGCAGAAGAGCCACTCACGCATGTAACAGAGACCCAGGAGCTTTGGATACTGCAGCTTTCCAGGCTTCATGCAGAAGTAGCTGCAACTCCCACAAAAGCAGGAGATTAGACACCCATACATACCTATGAAAAAAGAGGCTGAATTCAGGGGCCTGAAAAGCAATGGTCTGCAGGCCGCAATTCCACAGCACCTTACAGGATAAGGCCTACTGTTTGGATTTTCAGCCAGTCACTGGTAACAGAGTTGCGCCTACCCGGGACAGAGCACTGGGTGGTGGTGGGAGTCGGGGGCGGGGTGGTGGGTGGAGGGGTGGGCTGCCATCTTTGCTGTTTGGGTGACTTAGCCATTCCAGTCTTTAGGCTTTGGAGAGTTCAGGTGACTAGGGGTGGAAGCAGTACCCCAGCACAGCACAGTGGCCCCACAAAAATGTGGCCAGACTGCTTTATAAAGCAGGTCCCCTCACTGCATTCCTCATCACTGGGTGGAGCCTCCCAACCAGGATTTCTGGCTACCCCCAGTGGTGTTCTCTGGCTGACAGAGGTTTTAGGACACCCTGGGATGGAGCTCCCAGTAGGAGAGGCAAACTACCATCTTTGCTATTTGGGTGACTTCGTCATCCCAGGTTTCAGACTTTGGAGTGTCCAAGGCAACCAAGAGCTGAAGTGGACCCCCACCGTAGCACAGCTGCTCTACAAAAACATGGCCAGACTACTTTTTAAACTAAGCCCCGATCCTTTTTTTTTTTTTTTTTTTTTTTGTCTGAGTGAGACTTCCCAATATGGTCTCCAGCCAACTCCTACAGGTCTGTTCAGGCTGGTAACATGCCTATAACTCCCTGGGATGGAGCTCTCAGAGTAAGGAGCAGGCTGCCATCTTTGCTGTTTCACAGCCTTCACTGATGATTCCTCCAGGTACTGTAATATCTGAGGCAACTAGGGATTAGAGTGGACCCCAGCATAACACAGCAACCATGCAGAAAATTGGCCAGACTGTTTAAAACAAAAAAGAAAAAGACCTCTCCAAAGGTCACCAACCTCAAAGATTGAAGACAGATAAGCCCACAAAGATGAGAAAAGATCAGTACAAGAACACTGAAAACTCAAAATGCCAGAGTGCCTTTATTCCTCCAGATTCCTCCACTTCTACAGCAAGGGTTCAGAACTGGGCTGAGGTTGAGATGCCTGAAATGACAGGAGTAGAATTCAAATATGGATAGAGACAGTTGCTTCCACCTCTAGTTGCCTGAACTCTCCAAAGCCTAAAGAGTGGAATGGCTAAAGGAGTGTGTTGTAACCCAATTCTAGGAAGATAAAAATCATGATAAAACATTGCAGGAACTGACAGTCAAAATAGCCAGTATAGAGAGAAGAATGTAGGCAACCTAAGAGAGCTGAAAAGAGTGCAGGAATTTCACAACGCAATCACAAGTATTAATAGCAACATAGACATAGCAACATAGTGAAGGAAAGAATCTTAGGGGCTGGAAGACTGTCTTTCTGCAATAATACAGGCATACAAGAATAGAGAAAAAGAAATGAACAAAACCCCTGAGAAATACATGATCATGTAAAGAGACTGAATCTATGATTGATGGGTATACTTGAAAGAGATGGGTGGAGTGGAAACAACATGGAAAAGTTATTTCAGGATATAATCCACGAGAACTTTCCCAACATAGCTAGAGAGGCCAACATTCAAATTCAGGAAATTTAGAGAACCCCAATAAGATACTCCATGAGATCATCCCCAAGACAAAATCATCAGATTCTCCAAGGGCAAAATGAAAGAAAAAATGTTAAAGGCAGCTAGAGGGAAAGGCCAGTTCACCTACAAAGGGAAGCCCATCAGACTAACTGTGGACTCCTCAGCTGAAACCCTACAGGCCAGAAGAGATTGAGGCCAATGTTTTTCTAACATTCTGAGAAAAAAAATAATCCAATCCAGAATTTCATATTTCACCAAACCAAACTAAGCTTTATAAGTGAAGGAGAAATAAGATCCTTTTAAGACAAGCAAATGCTGAGGGAATTTGTTACCACTAGTTCCGTCTTAGAAGAGCTCTTGACAGAAGCACTAAATATGGAAAGGAAAGACTGTTACCAGCCACTGCAAAAAACACATTGAAGTACACAGATCAGTGACACTGTAAAGTAATCACGTAAGTCTGAAAAATAACCAGATAACATCATGATGACAGGATCAAATCCATACATATCAATACTAATCTTAAATGTAAATGGGCTAAATGCACCAATTAAAGGACATAGAATGACAAGCTGGATAAACAGCCAGGACCTATTGGTACCCTGTCTTCAAGAGATCCATCTCACATGCAATGACACATAGGTCAAAATAAATAGATGAAGGAAAATCTACCAAGCAAAATAAACAGATGAAGGAAAATCTACCAAGCAAATTAAAAACAGAGAAATGGAGGGGTTGCAATCTTAGTTTCTGACAAAACAGACTTTAAACCAACAAAGCTCAAAAAAGACAAAGAAGAGCATAATGGTAACGAATTAAGTTCAACAAGAGCTAACTGTCCTAAATATATATGCACATAACACAGGAGCAACCAGATTAATAAAACAAGTTCTTAGAGACCTTCAAAGAGACTTAGATTCTCACACAATAATAATGGTAGACTTTAGCAGCCTATTAAAAATATTAATTAATTTTCAAGACATAAAATTAACAGATATTTAGGACCTGAACTGAGCACTTAATCAAATGGACCTGATAGATATCTATAGAACTCTCCACCAAAAAAACAACAGAATATACACTCATCTCATCAATCCATGGCACTTACTCTAAAATTGATCACATAATTGGAAGTAAAACACTCATCAGCAAAAGCAAGATAACTGAAATAAAAAAACGTATCTTGTACCACCATGCAATCAAATTCAAAATCAAGAGTAAAAAATTCACTCAAAACTATACAATTCCATGGAAATTTAATAATCTGCTCCTGAATGACTTGTGGGCATATAGTGAGATAAAAGTAGAAATCAAGAAGTTCTTTGAAACTGATGAGAACAACGATAATGTACCAGAATCTCTGGGACCACAGCTAAGGCAGAATTAAAAGGGAAGTTTATAGCACTAAATGCCCACATTAAAAAAGATCTCAAGTTAACAACCTAATATCAAAACTTAATGTTCTAGAGAACAAAAGCAAACAAACCCCAAAACTAAGCAGAAGACAAGAAATAACCAAGACCACAGCTGAACTGAATGTGATGGAGACATGAAAAACCCTTCAAAAATTAACAAATCCAGGAGGTGATTTTTTTGAAAAAATTAATAAAATAGGCTGCTAGCTAGCCTAATAAAGAAGAAAAGAGATAAGATTCAAATAAACACAATCAGAAATGATAATGGGAATATTACCATTGACCCCACAGAAATACAAACATTAGAGAATATTATAAACACCTCTATGCATATAAACTAAAAATAATCTAGAAGAAATGGATAAATTCCTGGACACATACACCCTCGCAAGGCTGAACCAGAAAGAAATTGAATCCCTGAACAGACCAATCATGAGTTCTGAAACTGAGGCCTACTAACAAAAAAAGTCTAGGACCAAATGGATACACAGCTGAATTCTACCAGAGGTGCAAAGAAGGGCTGGTACTATTTGTACTGAAACTATTTAAAAATAATTAGGAGGGGATACTCCTCTTTCACTAATCTGTGAGGCCAGCATCATCCTGATACCAAAAACTGGCAAAGATACAACAACACCACAAAAAGATTCAGGCCAATATTTTTCATGAACACTGATGCAAAAAACCTCAACAAAATACTGGCAAATTGAATCCAGCAGCACATTAAAAAGCTTATCCACCACAATTGAGTAGACTTCATCTCAGGGATGCAAGTTTGATTCAACATATGCAGATCAGTAAATGTGATTCATCACATAGGCAGAACTGCAAGCAAAAACCACATAATTATCTCAATAAATGAAGAAAAAAGCTTTCAATAAAATTGAACATCTCTTCATGTTAAAAACTATCACTAAACTCGGTATTGAAGGAATATACCTCAAAATAATAAGAGCCATATATGATAAACCAACAGTCAACATCATACTGAATGGGCCAAAGCTGGAAGCAGTCCCTTTCAAAACCAGCACAAAATAAGGGTGCCCTCTCTTCTCACTCCTATTCAATGTAGTATTGGAAGTGCTGGCCAGGGTAATCAGGCAAAAAAAAAAAGAAATAAAGTTCATTCAAATAATAAAAGAAGAGGTCAAACTCTTCCTGTTTGCAGATGGCATGATTTTATATCCAGGAAATACCATTGTCAAAGCCCAAAAGTTTCTTAAACCGATAAGCAACTTCAGCAGTATCAGGATACAAAACTGATTTGCAAAAATTGCTAGCATTTCTATATACGAGCAATAGGCAAGCCAAGAGACAAGTCAAAAATTAACACACATTCACAATTACCACAAAAAGAATAAAATACCTAGAAATACAGATAACTCAGGAGGTGAAAGATACTACAAGGAGAACTACAAACCACTGCTCTAAGAAATCAGAGATGACACAAATAAATGGAAAATAATTCCCTGCTCATGAATAGGAAGAATCAATATCATTAAAATGGTCATATTGCCCAAAGTAATTTATAGATTCAGTGCTATTCCTATTAAACTATCATTGACATTCTTCACAGAATTAGAAAAATCTATTTTAAAATTAATATGGATCCATTAAGAGACGAATAGATTAAAACAAACAAACAAACAAAAAAAAGGCCTGCATATCAAGGCAATTCTAAGCAAAAAGAACAAACCTGGAGGCATCAAACTATACTATGAGGCTACAGTAACCAAAACAGCATGGTATTGGTACAAAGACAGACACATAGACCAATGGAACAGAATAGAGAACCAAGAAATAAGACTGCACACCTACGACTATTTGATTTTTGACAAACCCGATGAAAAACAATGGGGAAAGAATGCCCTATTCAATAAATGGTGCTGAGATAATTGGCTAGCCATATACAGAAGGTTGAAATTGGACCACTTTTTTACATTGTATACAAAAATTAACTCAACGTGGGTGAAAGACTTATGAAAAACCTGAAACTATAAAAACACTAGAAGAAAACATAGGTAATATCATTCAGGTAATATCATTCAGGATATAGGCATGAGCAAAGGTTTCATGATGAAGATGCCAAGAACAATTGCAACAAAAGCAAAAATTGACAACTGGTATAAAATTAAACAAAAGAGTTTCTGAGCAGCAAATGAACTAACAAAAAACAAAACACCACCACCGTCACCAAGAAACAGTCAACAGGGTAAACAGACAACCTATAGAATGGGAAATATTTTTACAAACTATGCATCTGACAAAGGTCTAATATCCAGCATCTATAATTAACTTAAACAAATTTACAATATAAAACACACAATACTATTAAAAAGTGGACAAAGGACATGAACACTTTTCAAAAAGAGACATATATGTGGTCAAGAAACATGAAAAAACCTCAACATCTCTGATCATTAGAGAAATACAAATCGAAACTACAATGAGATATCATCTAAAACTAGTCAGAATGACTATTATTAAAAATGCAAAAAAATAACAGATTCTGGAGAGGTTGTGGCAAAAAAAGGAATGTTTATACACTATTGGTGAGAGTGTAAATTAGTTCACCCATTGTGGAAGACAGTGTCATGATTCCACAAAGACTTAAAGACAGAAACTCCATTTCACCCAATAATCTTATTACTAGGTACAAACTTGAAGGAGTATAAATCATTCTATTATAAAGATGGATGCTTGTGTATGTTCATTGTAACACTATTCATAACAGCACAGACATGGAATCAATCTCAATATCTGTCAATGATAGATTGGATAAAGAAAATATGGTACAAATTCACCGTGGAATATTATGCCGCCATATAAACGAATGAGATCATGTCCTTTGCAGAGACATGGATGGAGCTGGAGGCTGTTATTCTTAGCAAACTAATGAAGGAACAGAAAACCAAATACTACATCTTCTTACTTATACATGGGAGCTTAATGATGAGAGCATATTGACACAGAGGGAATTAACACACACTGGGGCCTTTAGGAAGATGGAGGTTGGGAAGAGAGAGCGGATTATAAAAAATAACTAATGGGTGCTAGGCTTAATACCTAGGTGATGACATAATCTGTACAACAAATCCCCATGATGCAAGTTTACCTATATTACAAACCTGCACTTGTGCTCCTTAACTTAAAAAAAAGTTAAAAAGAAGAATGAAATTTAATTATATATGATAATATATCCTAAGATAAAAAATTAATTTGAAAATATATAATCACCTAGTTAACTAAGAACTCTGTCATTTGTCTTACCTTATAAATCAGTTGCCATGGAACATATAAAAATTTAAATATCTGAAACTTAGTATTTAAGGTAATTGCTGGCATTTGTGTAATTTAAGATAAATGCTAGGAAGCTTGGAAGTTATTTTTGTTTACTACCTGGATTGGTGACACCCAGTGACAATTGCAAAACATTATCCTCCAAGTCAGGTTTAAAATTATGTGATGCTTAAGAATTATTGGTTTTGTTTTACTTTGATTTGGGAGAGTGATTTGTACTATTTTACATTTTTGTGAATAACCTAATATTTAGTAATATAGTTTTACACTGTTTCAAATGTATACTTCTTAGAATAAATTAAGTTGTACTGTCTCTTATTTCAAAGCTTTGTGTAAATGTAAACTTGAGTGAAATTATTTTGTTGTTTTATTTATCCATGTTTTATGAATTAAGATGTTGATTGCTTACTCACTCCCTATGCTTATATAAACACAGTTTGTGTTCCCATAGAACTCTGCATGTATTTCTATTAAATTACCTAACACATTGAATTTTACATTTTTACTTATAGTCCCCACTAGTAGAGAGCATGCTGTATGTCTTGCTAATCTCTATATCCCTGTCATCTACAAAATATCTTAAATTCTACAGGTTTTCTATAAGCTTTTTGAATTGTATTCGTTGAAAAATAATACATATGATTTTAGTTAAATATAAAATAAAAATATTTTAAACCTTATGTTGTTCAGTTACCTGTAAATAACTACGGGACATTAATTAGTTTAGCTTGCTAAATATTTTTGGCACAACTTCTATTGCTCTGAGCCTCAAATTCATTAACAGGTCATGTTTTGCTCCCTTAGGTTTCCCATCTGCAAAACCAGAACATGTATTTTAATCCCCGTGTTTAACACAATTACAATAAAAAATTAACTAAATAAAATTTCAATCATATTATAGTTTATTATATATTATTGAATGACTTTGGCAACTCTACTGGCAAGAAACAATATTAAAATGAATACTTTTCCTTAACCAGCTTGCTTCTTTTTATTTTCTTTGTTGTGAGAGGAGAAATCGTTTTGAGTGTAGTCTCTTTTAAATAAGAAAAATGAACAGAAAGATCATATGCTATTGCCATTCATCTAAAGACAATGGCTTGGTATGAATTTGGTGTAGCCTGTTTATGCTATGTACTTCATACATTTATTTTTATAATATAATTCAACCTATATATAATAACATTAGTATATTCCCATTTGTCAGAAATGTATTATAATTCTTAATGACTGCTAATGTGTGGATAGCATCCTTGTTTTTGCTGAACTCTGGCTTAGTTATTCACTTTTGATTAATGGACATTTAGTTTTTAATATATCTGAGTTAGAAGCATTCTCTTTTTTTTCTCTTTTAATTTATATAGCTGAAAAGCCCTGATGAAGACTTTGAAGGCAAATCTCTTTATGAAAGCTGGAATAAAAAAAGTCCTTCCCCCGACTTCAGTGGCATACCCAGGTGAACAAACAAATGAAATTTCCATTGAATTCAGTGTGGGATTGTTTTGAAAATAAAAGCGTATTTTCTTTCAATCATTAAGTGAAAAAATAACTTTCAAAATGGTCTAAAATCTGATGAAGGAAGAGCATTCCTTTGGTTCACAAATCAAATATTATTGTGTGTTTTACAGTTAAATCTGCAGGACATCAAAACATGATTTCTCTTTAGAATATGTAATATATACATATGGTACATTTCAACAGATTATATAGATTGGTCATTTCTCATATGAAATCCATGGGATGGAGAAGTATTTGATTTTGGATTTTTTTCAGATTTTGGAATATTTGCATTATACTTACCAGTTGAACATCCATAATCTCAAAATACATAATCTGAAATGCTTCAGTTAGCATTTCCTTTCAGCATCATGTAGGTGCTCAAAACCTTTTGGATTTTACAGCATTCTGTTTTTTTTTTTCCTTTTTTTTTAATTTTCTAATCTTTATTTTTTGTGAGTGGACAGTAGGTGTACATATTTTGGGGGTGCATGAGATGTTTTGATACAGAATTTAGATTTGTGGATTAGGGATGCTCAACACGTAATGGAGATAATAGTAAAAAGTAATTCTCATTTTTTGTCACCTCATCACCCTGTAATTATTCTTTTTCTGAATATCATATAGTTAACAGATATTTTGCTTAGTGTAACAAAAAAGAAGCATCACTTTAACATTAATTGTGTCTTCAAAACAATACAAGTATAAATATCTCAGTAGTCTGAGATTACCAATGTCAACAGCACAAATTATTTATATTAACAGCAGAATTTATGTCCAAATTGTCTGCAAAATGTTGACTTATTTTCACTCTGTTATGTACAACAAATGAAATATGATAAATGAAATGAAATAATCTTAAAGAAAGTGTTTTCCAGCTTTAGAAACCTTTAACAAAATGTGACAGTCAGTCCTACACAAAATAGTCTTATAGAATTAGATATTTTGTGATCAAATTAATATTCCTCTTCATATTTTTGCTGCATGTCTAAAACTGTATGTTTAAAATTGTATTTATAATACCAAGAATGGAGTTTAGCTTAATGGGCATGTAATCTGTACTTAATGAACAAATTACTCTAAAGCAATTCTCTTATTTTATCCCTAAAAGGATTAGCAAATTAGGATCTGGAAATGATTTTGAGGTGTTCTTCCAAAGACTTGGAATTGCTTCAGGCAGAGTACGATATACTAAAAATTGGGTAAGTGTATCTCAAATTATTCAGGATTATTTATGAATATGTTTTAATTAAATGAATAATTCTGACTCCAAAAAGTGACTCCAGCATCAGAGGAATAGAGAAATTTGAAAGCACAGGTGATGTCTCAATGGTTGACAGTGTCACTTCTACATAGGATAACTCATATCTGGTGTTCCTACCCTAAATTCAAATGTCAGTTGGTATCAATACTCATGTCTGAAAATGTGAACATCCATGTACTCCCTTAAACATATTTCCTGTTTCATTTGGTGGCACTGCACTCAGTCATTTAAGTTGGAAATGTAGGAATTGTCTTTGACTTCACTCTCCTCCTTATCATTCAGAATTAATCAGCATCTCCCCATTATCATTCAAAATTAATCAGTATATTTGGATTTCCATCTCTTACTATTCTCCCATTATGAAACAAATAACGAGTCATTAAACAAATGAAAAATGGTATATATATTAGTCTGTTCTCACGCTGCTAATAAAGACATACCAGAGACTGTGTAATGTATAGATGTTTAATTGACTCACAGTTCCACATTGTGAAGCCTGGGAAGGCCTCGCAATTCTGGCCGAAGGCAAATGAGGAGCAGTTACATCTGACATGGTAGCCAACAAGAGAGCACGTGCAGGGAAACTTCCCTTTATAAAATCACCAGACCTCATGAGACTCATTCACTATCACAAGAGCAGTGCAGGAAAACACACTGCCCATGATTCCTTTACCTCCCGCCTGGTCTCTCCCATGACATGTGGGGATTATCATAATTCAAGGTGAGGTTTGGGTGAGGACACAGAGCCAAACCATATCAGTATAATATACTGTGAATGTGTGAAAGTCACATTATATATTGAATGTGTGATCCAACACTGACCAGTCTTACCAACATGAATAGTAAATGTGGTGCTAATCATTTTATTATAAGCTATCATATAAGAAATGTGTTTTGTTATTCTTTCTGTAGGAAACGAACAAATTCAGCAGCTATCCACTGTATCACAGCATCTATGAAACATATGAGTTGGTGGAAAAGTTTTATGATCCGATGTTTAAATATCACCTCACTGTGGCCCAGGTTCGCGGAGGAATGGTGTTTGAACTGGCCAATTCCATAGTGCTCCCTTTTGATTGTCGAGATTATGCTGAAGTTTTAAGAAAATATGCTGATGAATTCTACAATATTTATAGGAAATATCCACAGGAAATGAAGACATACAGTGTGTCATTTGGTAATGTTACCGTTCCTTTTTCAAATTCATCATCTGTATGGTTCTATTAATCTCCAGAATATAATGGGCTATCTTAGGTCATTTATTATTGATTGCTGTTTCAAGTGATCCAGTATTCTGTTTATGTCTATAAATGTATTTTCCATTTTATGAATGCTCACATCTTACAATATAAAAATATAAATACCTTGTAAAACACAAAAGATGGCTTCTATATTGTTCCTTTTCTGGAACTATAGAACAATGCCATTAGAAATTATGTTCTTTAATCATTTGATGATCTCAATTTCTATTACAGATTCACTTTTTTCTGCAATAATGAATTTTACAGAAATTGCTTCCAAGTTCAGTGGGAGACTCCAGAACTTTGACAAAAGCAAGTATGTTCCACAGACACACAGACACACACACACACACACACACACACACACACACATGTGTGTGTGTGTGTGTGTGTAATTGTATATAATTAAAAGGAAAATAACATCACTGTTGCTGAATTGACTTTGGGATTTTCTTGCTGTTTTTTTGCTTAGTTTTATTTTAAGTTCAGAAATTTGGTATAGGTATATATGTGCCATTTCCTGTTGTGTTCTGTCTTTCTACTGTAGCACATTCTATGTAGTGTGCTCTATCTCAGAAGATCTATTTTCGACATTCTGAGTGGGAATTATGCTGCTCAGAAATGTCAGCTTCTCCCTCCTGTCAATTGATTGGTTATAGTATACTCTGCTTAACATTGAGGGTCCTCCACTGTGTGACCCCAGCTTTTTTCATTTTTATCTCTTATTGTTTCAGTATCTGTACATCATAACTCAGCCAGATCATTAAATTTTCAAAGCATGATTTATTTCTACCTCTTTTTTTGTCATTATCTCCATATAGAGCTCCTTATTTCCACTTACATCTGGCAAAAGTCTATGTATCCAGAATAGAAAATTTTTAAAGCTATTAATTTTGGAAATGTTAAACATTTAGAATTAATTCTGTGTAAGATTACACAAGTACAACAAAATTTGAAAAAAATTTAAGATGGAAGGAAGAATACTTGGTGAGAATACTAAGGTAATTTTTTTAGTAGAATTTTGAGGGTACACATCTGTGTATTAAATATGGCATGATATAAATATCAAATCCCTAGGAGCTGATGTTAGGATACATAGAAAGATCAGGATAGATAATCTAGAAATAGGTCCATTGATACATAAGGAAGTATTAGTAATAAAGCATACAGCAAAAATCAATGGGGAACGATTACTCAACCATAATATTGTATAAGCTATGTCAGTATCTGCTATAAAAGTAAATTCAGAATTGCACTTCACATTGTATGTTAACATAAACAATGGGTGTAAAGAATTATTTAGTAAAAATAAAAATTTCTTGAAAGACAGATGCCAAGTTTAGAAGCAATGGGGAAATAATGTAATCAGATTTGAAACCATTAAAATGGTCAGAATATGAAAATATTCAAATGAAAAATGAAAGTTGAAAACTTATATTCCAGCAAAAGTGAAAAGAGAGTAATACATGCATTATAAAAATATTTTTTGAATTAAACAGTCCAAAAGAACAAATTGAAAATATTGGTAAGAAACAAGACAAATAATTTAAAAAATGTTGTCAAAGATACACCTGTAAAGAAACATAGCAAAATATTGCAGTTCACTAATGCCTAATTCAGAAATACTAATCAAGGTAATGTGATCTTATTCTTATAACACATTAATAGCAATTTAAATCTTGATTGTGTCTATTGATGTAGCTGGTACACTGCAGCATATGCTCTCCATGCTTTTCTGATATCATTATAAATTATTTTTGCCTTTTTGAAAAAGATAGATACATATTGCTAAAGTGTTAAAGAGATGTCACAGAGTTCTGTGCTTTGACATAGCATTTTCATTTCTTGAATTATTTCTTAGGAAAAAGTCTCAATTTTAGAAAAGAAAGACTGCTTGGAGAAAGATTTGAAGTATAAAATTATAATGCCAAGTAATTCAAAATAACCTAATGCTTAAGAGAAGAGAAATTACTAAAAATTTGATATTCACCAATTTGAACATTTTATAATCATTAAAATAGGTTATCAGAAATACAATATAAGAAGATACTTAGAATAAAATATGAAATAAGCAAAAAGCTTATAAAATTATAAATACAATTTTATTAATTTTTATTTAATGAATAGAAAAATCTTAAATGGAATTTAAAAATTATTATAATAATTGTGTTATCCTCTGAGGGCTATTGGAATAATTGTTTTCTTATTCTTTACAATTCTTTACAATTTTTATATGTGAGTAAAATGTCAACAATGAGAAATAAATTTTCAGGACATCCCAAACACCATGTATTCTATAAAGCTGGTTTGCTTTCTGTATTTAAAAAAAATATATTTTCTCCCTCTGAGAAAATGCCCCATGGTTTGAAATGTGGTTTGTTTAGAACACTTATTGTTTAGCACACTCAGCTTTCCTTTCCTTTAGTATTTCTATATTTGTTTTATTTTCTCTAAATGATAGTAAAGATACATCCTGTTCTCTATATGGTATTTACAAATTCTGAAACACCTGAGATTGCACACATTAATAGTAAATTGCACACATTAATAGTAAATTCAGACTAAGTAAATTAAACTGAATATCGAATTTCTCAACCAAAACTTTGAAATCTAAGGATTTCAGAAACCCATAGCACCTTATTGAAATTATCTTTCATTCGATTGCCTCATCTGTTTCTGGGAGTTGCTAACAGGTATTTTGTTTCATTTACCTTTATACTATCACAGAATCTGAATTCATGATGCTAAATACATAAATGTTAAAAATAGCTCAAATCCAAATTATGGGGGTTTAAGTTATTCCTATTTTTTCTTTTATCAACGGGGTGCAGTTGAAAGAACAATATGGGCCTCCTATTTCACTCTAAAAACTTTCTAGTGTAAACTTAGTCAAGTCATTTAACTCCTGATCCTTTGTTATCTCATCTACATAATGGGGCTATTACTCTGTTCAACTTGCAGAATTGCTGTGGAGATTAAAAACCACATATTATATAAACATTCAGAATAGTAATTGGCACATAGGAAATGATAACTAAATGCTGTTGGTAAAAATTATAAAAGGCAAAAGATAAATTAATGAGTAAGATGATTTATGCTTCCTTATTGAAATAATTGTTTCTCATTAGTTAATTAAATTATGACAGAATTGGTGTATTAAATTCAGTAACTCATTATTAAACTATTCAGGGCTTGCAGATAAACTTTTAATTATATTGAATCATTCTTATTACAATAATAACCCCAACACTCCTTTTGAAATGTAAGTCTGTAAAAGCAGGGAGTGTTTGATACATTGGAGACATAGAAATACTGTTGAAAGACTGAGGTAATCACCATCTCTTGTGTTCGTAATAAGTTTAGCTTTAAAAATAAAAGGACTATTATTACTTATCACTTGGTAAATATTTATAATTTTCCAGGCATCTTGCTGGAAAATTATAGCAGGTCATCTTATTTTAATATTGATGTTACTTCAGTGAGTAGATTATTAGGATACCTAAGGTGAAGAAAACCTTGTTATATTTGTACATCTGGGTTTATCAGTTAATTATTAAGCCAATGTAAATAAAAATCACTATTATTTTTCCCATTGGCACATACAGCTGTTTCTGTGCTTTTATAAGCCTGAGCCGTATAGTAGTGTATGCGATTTAAAAAATATGGTAGTTATGTGTGTTGTTAATTTGCATATTACATAAATTAAAAATTTACAATTGACATTTGAACAACAGTGATTTGAACTGCACAGGTCCACTTATACATGAATTTTTTTCAATTAATACAATGAGCCCTCTCTATCTGTAGATTTCACATCAGCAAGCAAACACAGATGGAAAATTCAGTATTATTCACGGTAATCCCAGGTACTCAGGAAGCTGAGGCAGGATAGCTTGAGCCCAGGAGTTTGAGGCTGTAGTGATCTATGATCAAGCAACTGCACTCCAGCCTGGGTGACAGAGCAAGACTCCATCTCTTAAGAAAACAGAGTAAAATACAATATGGGAAGGACTAAAACCCTCATATATGGAGGGCCGACTATCCTTGTTATTTTTAAATATGGTAAACTTCTTATTTTGCCAAACCTTTATTTTCAAACTTACTTTTGCAAATATTATCATAGCATACAGAAAATGATTTTGTTAAAAATATCAAAAAAGATGGACATAAATCTAGAAAAAAGGATTTTAAGTGAGTACATTCATTTATATGGAAAAAATCTCAATAGTCATCTTTCTTTTAGCTTTGATACATTAGAACTTTTATCACGGAATGATGCTCATTCTGTGAGCTTGAATCTGAGAACCACAGATGTAGCTAATGAGAAACTAATGAAAAATATAAAGTAAGAGGATTATAGAAACTTAAAAAAACCAAAACTGTTACATTTCATTTGTACTACTAGCCATGTGCTTCATAAACATTTTCTAGTTTATATAATTGCCTATCTCATTGTCTTACTATGAAGACTAAGATGTCAAAGGGGCATTAAGCATGTGATAAGAGTTATATTGGAGGCAGCTAACCCAAAGGGGATCAGATGTGGCTTCAGATACCACAGACAATAGCTACATTTCCTCCCTGAGGCAGAGCAAGTTAATTCAGAAAGTCTTATCAGACTCCGAGAATGCTGTACTTAAGCCATTCTGAAAAATCACTTGAAAAGATACCATTTTAAGTAATTTTTAGACTTAAATCTGGATCATTATACTGAGAGATTAATTTAATTTGCTTGGTAGTTTGTTCATTTTCACCCTGTTAATTCCGAAGAGGAGGATCGTCTTTTCATATACATGTGTCTTCCTTGCAGGACTTGAGTTTGCAGAAATTTTGGTGTAGGGGGTGGTGCTGGAACCCATCCCCAGAGATAACTAGATTCAGTTTTGTTCTAAAATTTTTATTTTCTGGGTAGAAACATTTTCATGAAGTTATAATTATATTCATTTTCTTTCTCAGCCCAATATTATTAAGAATGATGAATGATCAACTGATGTTTCTAGAACGAGCATTTATTGATCCATTAGGGTTACCAGACAGGCCTTTTTATAGGTAAGAAAAAATATGACTCCCTTCTATAATAGCACATTATCTTATTTTTATTTTTTTGCACTGTGGAAAAATGTAGTTTATTTCTTGCAAGCAAATAGAAAATTTTAAAATATAGGTAGTAAGTGATAGTTGTAGTGTTTCTTCATATGATGTAACATGATTTTTGTATATCTTCATTTTGCGTATCTTTCTGATTATTAAAGAATATATATTTATTTAGAAAATATAGAAGATCCAGAAAGCCGCAGGAGAAAATGAAAATCTCTCTAATTTTATCAGAAAAAAATATAAATTCATGGTTATAGTCTTGTGTGTACAATATTAGCTCCTTTCTTATTTTAAATATATTTTTGCTTAGGTATACACACAATCCAAACATCTCTATATATATAATGTATATAATACATATATATTTATTTTTTTCCCTAATGTTGATATTTAGAGGCTTCATTTCCTTCTAAATCCTTACAGTTGCATTTTTTCTACCAAATACTGACTGTCCCCTGATCTTCTAAATATTGCAGAATAAGATGGATCATTGGACAGCCCATGGCCCCTAACTTTCTTTCTAGAGATTATCAAAGGGTCAGGCTTGAGAGTGAGAGCATCTTCCAAACAGGTTGACTGGATTGCCAATGGCAGTATATTTTTGTCTATCATCCCTCCATCCCACTTTTTTGTTGTTGTTGTTGTTTTCCTAAGAGACAGGGTCCTATTTTGTCTCCCAGGCTGGAGTTCAGTTGTGCAATTGTAGCTCACTGCAGCCTCAGACTTTTGGACTCAAGCAATTTCACGTCAGCCTCCCAAGAAGCTAGGACTGCAGTCACATGCCACCATGCCCAGCTAATATTTGTACTTTCATTTGTAGAGACAGGGTGTCCCTATGTTGCCCAGGCTTATCTAGAACTCTTAGCCTCAAGTAATCCTCCTGCCTCGGCCTCCCTGATGTATGGGATTACAGGCATGAGTCACTACTTCTGGTCTTATTTACCTCTTTACTTTGGAATTTGTCCTTCTACTCTAGGGCTATTACATGAACTGTCTTAGCCCATCCTATAAAACATTCTTGTGGTCATGTGGCACATTACAAAATTGTTTTTGATGATTCTTCAAACTATATGTTAAGTATTCTAACATGGTAGTGTGACTGTTTGAAAAAGGACCAAAGAGAAGAAAACATAATAGAGGGTTGGCTGATCATAAACAAGATTGTAATGATCACAATTGTGCTACAATTTAGGAGGTAGTGTGGTATATTAAAAAATCAGCAGTTGTTATATGCCTTGAGAGAAATAATTTAGTTACTTGATCTCTCAGACCTCAGTTTCCTCCTCTGTGAAATACTAATAGCAACTGTGTAGAGTTTATTTCTAAGTATTAGAAAAATTGTTTTAATACCAAGCATGATTGCTGTGGTTACTATCATCATTGTTACTATTGTAGCACTGAACCACTTAAAGTTATCTGTTTGAAGTAAAAATATAATTAATTACTATAGATTTTATAGACTAGTCTTCAGAGACGATTGAACTTGAAAGTTTGGTTGAAAGTCACTTGTTCAAATTGTTATAGGGATATGCAATCCAGGAATTGCAGAGTGCTCTTCTGTTTCTCTTGTGTGTCATTTGGTTACCTAATAAACAGCAAAGGATTTTATCAACAGGCATGTCATCTATGCTCCAAGCAGCCACAACAAGTATGCAGGGGAGTCATTTCCAGGAATTTATGATGCTCTGTTTGATATTGAAAGCAAAGTGGACCCTTCCAAGGCCTGGGGAGAAGTGAAGAGACAGATTTCTGTTGCAGCCTTCACAGTGCAGGCAGCTGCAGAGACTCTGAGATAAGTGGTCTAAGAGGATTCTGTAGAGAACTCACATTGAATTTGTGGATATGTCACTCAGAAAGAATAATGGTGGGTATATTGATAAATTTTAAAATTGGTATATTTGAAATAAAGTTGGATATTATATATAGTTATGTGAGTGTATGTGTGTGTTTATATTGTTTCTTTTATCTTCTCTTATGGTTTAAAGTAAAAAATTGAATTTCATAATTACAGAAAGTTATTCTGAAGTGGAAAAGTTTCACTCAGTATTAAATCTCAGGAGAATGGCCTAATATAGTAAAACTCTTATCTGGCATTATCAGAGAATCAAGTCTATTCTATTCATGTCGCTTCACACATAAGAAAACACCAGCATGTCATAGAGAACACTGGGAAATATGCATAGGACTATTCCAAGCCAGAGGCCTCAGACCCTGCCTAGCCACTCAGCCACCCAGGATCACTATCTCAGCACATTCGTTGGGAAATGGATCAAATTACACTTTTAGTAAAGGTAATCACTCTATAGCATAAGAAATAATTATTTTTTATTTGTATAAAAGGCTATACTATAACATATACGTTTAGTGAAAAATAGTAATTAAACCAACGTTTGTGAACCTAACAGCCATGTGAAGACAATAACATTTCCAGTATCTTTGGATGCCCCATGTACTAATGACAGTTGTGCTTTTGCATTTTCTTGAGTTTTATGTTTAATCTTTCCTCTGTTATTACTTATAATTTTATCACACATGGCTGTATACTTTACATATTTTGGCATTATGTATTTTTGAACTTTTATAAAGACAATCATATCATCTGTATTTTTCAGGTGCTTGATTTTTTCATTGGCTTTTAAGGGTTCATGTATGTATCACCTCCGCTGTAGTTTGCCATATTTTGCTGATACAGAGCATTCATTCACGTGAGAGTAAGACTCAGGGTCCATCAAGACAGAGAAAACATACAATAATGCGAATAGGGAAAGTTAATATAAATAATTATTAATTGTAACAGCATTGGAGCAATGAAATACTGTCTAGTAAGAGGTAAAGAGAAGTCTCAAGAATATGTGATAAGTAGATATAGGGAATTGCCACTGTCTCCATGGTGAAGTTGGAGTAACCAATGAAGAGTCTCCTCACACTGTGGCCTCACTCAATGTTAAGAAGTCTCTGTGATGTTGCACTTGAAGAACTTCCTTCAAATGAACAGTTTCAAAATCCCCAGAAACTTGCCTTCAGGGCCCCTGTGTAAAGCAATTTATGAAGAAATGTCAGGCTAGAGGGGCTCTACTACAAATTTGGCAAAGGGAAGTGTCAGGAGAAGCTCTTGGCTGCTGGGTTTGCCTGGCCACCATAAAGTGGGTGCCATAGCAAGAGGCCTGAACTGTATTATCTGGCCACTGGGGTAGCCTCATAAGCTGCCTGCATCAGATGCTGGAGCTGTCATTTGCATTGCCAGAGTTTGCCAAGCGTGCACACAGAAAGCAGATTGGAAAGCACCTTCTTGGAACGTCTCTCCAATACCTTCTACTCACAAAGTTTAACATCATAACATGTGACAAAGAATAACTATTTAATGGGCTCAGATCTATTTATGAACACAACCAAGAGTGAGTTTGGAGTGAATAACCCAAAGCTGGATAACTGGTGCATAATAAAATGTATTTATTCATTTTTTGCTGGTGTATATTTGGAATGTTTTCTGTATTTTGCTTCTGTGAACATGTCTCCTAATACAGATATTCAAGAGATTCCCTTTCCTGATGATATCTACCTACAGGTGGAATGTCTGGGTTATAAAGTTTGTGCATATTCAATTTTACAATGTCGCGCTTTTTCTAAGTTATTTTATTTATTTATATTCCCACTGGCAAAGTAATGTTATTCACAATTATAAAAAGTTTGGAAAATTGTGGCATGTTAAAGAAACACAAAGAACTCAGTTTTACTAGAATCCAAGGCATTTGTGGGAAGAACAATCCATACATTGAGCACCAAATACATCACATAAGGCTTGTAAGACATCCAGAGTAATATAACTACTTTCCCGTAGTTTATCAAAAGCCCATAATAAAGTTAAGGAGGATAGGGATACGGGCACATCTGCATTTCAGAAAGCGTTCTGTCCTAGATGGATTAGAAGGGAATCCACCCAACAAAAGATTAGAACTTTTTTTTTCTTTTTGAGACAGGGTCTCACTCTGTCACTCAGGCTGGAGTCAGCAGCACAATCCCAGCTCAATGTAATCTCTGTCTCCTAGACTCAGGTAATCCTTAAGCCTCAGACTCCCAAGTAGCTCAGATTACAGGCATGCACCACCATCCCTGGCTAATTTTTGCCTTTTTCTGTAAACATGGTGTTTTATCATGTATCCCAGGCTGACCATGAACTCCCCAGCTCAAGCTATTAATCTGCCTTGGCTTCCCCATGAGCCACCATGCCAAATCCCAAATCTTTTCTCATGACAACATTTGCCATGTAGACTTTATCCCCAGAAAAGATAAGACTACCCTCATCCTTCAGGTCTCAGCTTATGTGTCACCTCTTCTAGGAATACTTCCAAGATGACTGCCCTTTCTCTTGTATCCCCTAACAGGCGACAAGCTCCTTAGAGACTGAGTCTTGTTTTTTTATTTTGGCTCCAATCCCTATCAGTATGGAGAGCCCATAGATGACACTCATTTTGCGAGTAATCAGGGTGACGAGCATATGAGACTGTCCAAGACATTCTGTGCTTTGAAAAGAAGAGCTGAACTACACACTAGGATTTCCACAATGCCTTTGTTAATGGGGTTTGGCTGAGCATGCTAACAGATTTTTTGTGACATCATTGTTAGAAAGTTGGACAATATTGTAGATGTGTGATAAGGTGAATATTATTATCATAAAATATGGACCGAAATCTGCGTAATACTTGAAAGCTTTGTCAACTTTCAACCAATTTACAAGCACGCAATCAGCATCTCCCCAAAATATTTCAGTGGCTCAGGAACATACTTTGGCAACATGTTTAAGTCACTGTCCTTCACAAGAGGTAGCGCAATGATAGGAACACAGTTTTTGTTTTGTTTTTTGAGAGAGTCTCTATCTGTTGCCAGGTTGGAGTGAAGTGGTGCGATCTTGGCTCACTGCAACTTCCGCCTCCCAGGTTCAAGTGATTCTCCTGCCTCAGCCTCCTGAGTAGCTGGGATTACAGGTGCCCACCACCAAGCCTAGCTAATTTTTGCATTTTAAGTAGAGTTGGTTTCACCAGGTTGGCAAGACTGGGCTCAAACTCCTGACCTCAAATGATTTACCTGCCTCTGCCTCCCAAAGTACTGGGATTACAGGCATGAGCCATGGCCTACAGCCAGGAACACAGTTTTTAGAGACAGATTGCCTGGGTTCCAACCCTAGTTCTCCCACTTACAGTATGACTATGGGCAAATTATTAAAGCTTTCTGTTATTAAGTTTCTTAATCTTTAAATGGGTATAAAATATGACCTATCTCATGGGGTTGCTGTAAGAATTAAATAAGTTAGAACATGTAAAACACTTAGAACAGTTTTTAGCATATAATTAGTAATCAGTAAATGTTTGATATTTTCATTTGAATGGTAGAGTATTTTTTAGTTAGCTAATGTAATACTAGCACTTTTTCTCTCCTACCTTTTCTGCATGATGATACAGTTGTAGTAAAAATAGATGATAAATTTGGTAGCTTCCAGCATTAAGATTTGGAACTATTGTTCATTCTTCTATATGCATCTCATAAGTTGCTTATTGTTTAGTTCTAATACAGGGCATTCTACACAACATAACATAGAATTTTTACTGAAAAGTGAGAATACTAGAAAGCCTTTTCTCTCTATACTTATGTAAATAACATGTAACATTTTAAGCAGTGTTTGAAGTCATTTTCAAAGAATAAAATTTCTGGAAATGTCCTTATATGCATCTATGATTATTACCTTTTCTTAATTTTTTAGGATAGGTTTTTTGAAGCATAATGCTGATGAAATGACACTTCAGAAAACATGCTAATTTGCAATGCCATGCATTGATTAAAAAGATACCCATTTTATCTTTTTCTAGGATATGCTGGTTTTTAGAGTTATTTAATGTCTGTTAATATTTAAATGGTGACTTTTATTTAGATTTTCACTTTTTTAATTTCTAGCAAGGTTAGATAATTTTAAGTTTATAGAAGGAACCTAAATCTTAAAATATTAGATAGTGTATTAATACAATTATATGTAAACATTGGTAACTTATTAAATCATGGTAAATGACAACAAAATATTTGTATGGCAGCCCTGTTAAAAATAATTGTCATACACTATTAAAGATAATTATGCCTATAATTATTGCTTAAATGATTACAGAAGTTTTAATATATGAATACATACATTGTTATAGATATGTATGTACATATATGTAAAGTATCTGGTTAAAAATTATTCACAAAGGTGTAGGAATCAAAAAAACTTTATTTTCATACGAAGCAATTATTTCAAAATAGTCATAAAATAGTGAATATAAGGGAAATATGCTGATACAAGTAATTCCACCAATTTCTATACATACAATTATTTGAATCACAACGAGCTCCTTGGTACACTCTTTTAAATGAGAGAGTTACACAGTACAGATGTGTTAGTAATCCCAGTTGATGTTTTGTTTTTGAACATATTCAGATAAATACAGCTAGGCACTTAGTAAGCAATTATAAATTTGTTTTAAAACAGAGTAAGAAATTTAAAATTTAAAACAGAGTAAGAAATTTTTAAAGTTACTATGTGATAAAAAAAGAACATATTTAATGAAATATTTCTTTTAGTTAAAATGTTTCTTTGGACTGCATGCATTAAATCAACTTTTTTCCATCTTATCCCAAAGTCTTCTGTTGGGCTCCAACTGTGTGTGTGTGTTTTTTTTTTTCACTTTATAAATCTAAGCAGCCAATTTCACACCTTTCTGTGCAACCAAATCAATCTCAGAAAGTGGGTGTCATCTTGGTTGGGACCAAATACTTTTAAAGGACGCTTGTCCAGAGATTTCTTCTCCAGAGAGGACCCACTGGATTTGTAGCTGCTGAGGGCCTGGAGTTACTGCTGATGTAGATATTGACAGAGCTTCTAGATGTGAGACATTCACAG